TATAATTCTGACTCCGGGTCTTCATTCTTCATATCTGGTTCTGGGTCTTTGACTGTACACCCCTTACACAAGACAAAAATACTTTATGATAATAATTTCTTTTTGTACATCTAGAAACATTTGACCTTAAATTTTGATTTATGATTAAAATGACTTATCATTAAAATACTGAAATATTGATCTTAAAAAGTGTCCATAATCAATTACCTCAACAAAAAATACACAACTGTTTTGAGTCAGAGGTCAGCAAGTAGTCTTATTTTTTGATTCCTCATTAAATTGATCAAAAGTAAAAGCAAAAACATTTTATTCTTTTATTTTTTTTATTAAAAAAAATTATTCTGTCATCAAAAAAAAAAAAAATGTTTCACGGAACTCACAATATTAAGCGTCACAGCTGTTTTCAACATTAAAAATAAGAAATGTTTCTTCAAACAGCATATCACAATGATTTCTGAAGGATCATGAGCCGATGAAGACTGGATTAATGATGCTGAAAATTCAACTTTGCCATCACATAATTAAATTTACATTAAAAAATATTTAAATAGAAACAACTTTAAATAGCATAACTTTTAAATTTCAATAATATTTCACAATATTAATGTTTTTTACTGTATTTCCTTCAAATAAATGCATCCTTGGTGAGCATAAAAGAGTTCTTTCAAAAATATTTAAAAATCGAACCGATCTCAAACTTTTCAACTGTAGTGTGTATAATATTGACATTATATTAACCATCATATGAACGATCTTCAGTCCACAACAACACAGATCAGTTTAAAGGGTTAGTTCACCCAAAAACGAAAATTAAGTCATTAATTATTCACCCCCATGCTGTACCAACCCCGCAAGACCTTCGTTCATCTTCGGAACACAAATGAAGATATTTTTGATTAAATTTGAGAGGTGGATCACTGCTACATAGGCACCCTAAGGGATCGAAACATGACGGACCAGAAAGAAAATGTTTAAATATTCCATGTGACAACAGTGGCTCAACTATAAGTTTATCAAGCGATGAGAATAATTTTTGAGCAACTTTTTTGATACTTTTTACAGGGTTAGTAATTAATGACTTGGGTGAACTAACCCTTTAAGAAATCCTCTCTTACCAGATATTGTGACGTAGACCCTCTTTCTCTCTCTCCAGCTCAGCACACTTCCTCTCCAGCTCCTCTCTCTCTCTGTCACACTCCATCAGACTGACCTTCAGCTGGCCCTCACTCTCCAACACCTTCAACAATTCAGAACATGCATGTCACATGAAGTAATATCTCTGAACACAGAGTGATTTATATGAATCAGCTTGAGTCAGATTACCGTCCTGAGTTTTTCAGAAACGTCATCTTTGTATTCCTTGAAGGTGACCGTGAGCTTCTCTGCATTTCGGAGCGCTTGGTTTCTCTGCTGCTCCGCACTTTGAAAGAGAATTTTCAGGGAATTTTAAGCTGCGGCGTTTCAAGAATCACAAAAAGACTTCTTGTACATTTGAGGTAATTCCAGCTTAAAGAGATTACTGCTCCCAAGATGAATTAGTCTGTGAAGTTTTCATTAGCATAACTAATCTCATACCGTTTCCCCAGACGTGTTCTTTCAGCCAACTCAGCTTTAACAACTCTCAGCTCATCTCTGAGCTTCTCCGCCAGCCTGGTACTCTGCATCACTGTCTGTTCGCTTTCTTCCAATTTCTGCTCTGCAGCCCTAAAAAAAACAAGAGTATGCTGCACCAGATATATGATAGAAAAAGCATCTGATTTTTTTTAAGAAGCTATAAGTGGTACCTACTCTAAAGCTTTGGTTTGGGTGTCCAGTTCTGCTTCTAGACCCAGAATCTGCTCCTTCATTAAAGACACGCTGGAGGTCCTGGCTCCCACTGTGGATCCCAACATACGGATCTATACAACAAAAAAAGTCAGTTAATAAAATAAACATCAGCTGCGAAACAATACTTGAAGAGACCAGAGAGAAACCAAAGAGAGATCAGTTGTTTCACCGGAAGATCGAGTTATGATACCAATGGATCAAAAATTTTAAATTCTCATTTCATGCTGACATTAAGGTGCTTAAAGCTTGTTACTAAGCATGTTGCTAAGGAGTTCAGTTTAAAGGGATAGTCCACCCAAAAATGAAAATTCTGTCATCATTTACTCTCTTACATCCTCAGAAAACAAATGATCTTTTTGATAAAATCTGAGTTCTCTTTCGTCCTGGGAACTCCAACGTGTCGTCGGGGAGTTCCCTAATGAATTGGGATCACAATTTGTCAGGGAACTCCCGACGACACGTCTCCGTTCACTGTACTCAGGGGACGAGGGTTACATACGTAACCGAGTTTTCTGTCCCTCTATTGAAGGCTACGCAACTGACAAATCTGACCCCAACCCCGAGGTCCACTTTCCTGCAAAGTTCAGCTCCAAACCTAATCAAACACACCAGAACTTGAAGTGGTGCTGCACAGACAGATCGATGTATGACAAAGTAAGTTGGGAGCGATTGGAAAGCATAAAGAGCCATCTGCGCTCTAATGTTTTCCTACCATCTCATATTTTTTTGTGTCTTTAGTAGCTTCGTAGAATTTATTTTCCAAACATAGTATTTTCTTGAGCACAAAATCCACATATATGAATGATTTCTGAAGAATCAATTACTTTCAAGATTTGAGTAATGATGCTGAAAATTCAGCTCTGCCATCACAGCAATAAATTACATTTTACAATATAATAAAATAGAAAACAGTTATTTGAAATTGCAATAATATTTCACAATATTACTGTTTTTTACAGTATTTTTAATCCTATAAATGCAGCCTTGGTGAGCAAAAGACTTTTCAAAAACATTTTTTTTTTTTAAATCTTACCGACCCCAAACTTTTAAACTGTAGTGTCCCTCTTTATAACTCAACACAGTACCACAAAACACTATAATAACCAATCGCTATGTGAAGAGCATTACCTTGGACCTTGAGCTGGCTAACTCAAGCTGAGCAGCTTCAATGTCATCGATGAGCTGCCTGTTCTCCATGACCAGAGAAGTGTTCTCCTGCCTGATTGTGTTGAGCTTCCTCCTGAGAACAGACGTCTCCATCTCCATTGCTCTGTCTGACTATAGATAAACACAAAAACACATGTTAAATTAGACAAAAACCTTTGAAATCTGTAGGTTTTCAGGTCTATTTTAAGAACAAGCATATAAAAGGTGACACTACTTTAGTCCATTTATCTGCTGCATCTAGTGTCTTACCCTGCAGTCACAGGTAGATATACGTGCACATGTCCTCTGCTCTGAGTGAATATATTCTGGATCAGGCTTCTGAAGGTCTTCTAATGTAAGACGACCAGGGAATCCATCCACGAAACTCCTGTTATTATCCTCACCAACGATGTCATTTCCTGATCGACTGAAATGGGTGAAATGCTAATACAACGACAAGTGAAATAATACCTAGCAGTAGTGCTGTAACAAAAAAACATTATTAATATTAAAAAAAGAACAATCAACATTTCAAAACAAAGCAAACAAACAACATTTTAAATTATGTGGGCCAAGGCAACATAGCAAATGAAAATAAATGTAAAAATGATTTTTCATCACCAATAAAAAAAAAAAAATCTATTTATGGATAATTTATAATACATTTCTTAACAAATTATATAAAGAATTTTATACAATTTGTTCAGAGACTGATTATTATTTATCCTTAACTATTTTTTAATGGATGATAATTTGTCTAAGTCTCTATCCTTTTAAAAAACCATACATGCTATTCTTTCGTCTTTGAAAAGAATAAGTTTGTTTTGTATTACAATACAAAAATGTTTAATGAATATGCTATTATTTCTTTAATACTGGTTTTCTTTCTTACTACTATGAGCATATGAGTCTGAGTAAGCACACTAATGAAAGATATATTACTGGAGATTTGATTGTATGCATGTAACGTATATATTTAATATGTATATCCTGTTCAGAGTTTGTAAATAGAAATTGTTCACACAAACACACAGGAACATGGTGGCAAAGAGAATCTCAGAATCATATATGCATTTTTAATCATATCTGAAAGATATGTCGTCATGTAAAACGCACAATTCATTTGAACAACAACTCTCAAGAGAGAAATGCCTCACCTCAGTTGTTCCCCCACTGACTGTAGGTTTTTCTCGGTCAATCGCAGCTGATTCCTTAAAGAGAAAACATCCTCTACCAACCCCCTGTTGTCTTTGAACATTGGTGATTGTTATGAAGAACACTGAAAATAAATGTTAATATCCATGTTTAAATGGACTCAACTTAAATCAACACTCCACGCGCAGAGTTGTTGTTGCTTTAAACTCAAATGATTTGACTTCATATCATGTATTCAACAGGTTGTTAAGGAGTAGACGGTCACTCTATTATCCATTTCTGCTCTCCGCTGCTTTTATGGGGGCTAACTGACAAAGCATTTCTATACTAGTGAACAACTGCTTACCAGCATCTTCAAAACTTCAGTTTTGTGCAGAAGAAACACCTTATTTTCCAGTAGATTTAGCTTAGCATTCACTGTAGCTACATCTAAACACAAGGCGCGTCCGTTGATTGGCTGAGACGAAAAACCGTCTTTCCTATAGTGACGTAATGCTCACGTGGTATGGCCGCGAATGTTAGCGCGAATATTACAGCGGTAAAGTTGTTCCGTTGCTACTAGGTTTTCGTTCTGTTGTTATTATTTACATTAGACTGTGAGTTGGTTAACAACAGCTTGGTTGACTGTTTATTTGTTAGGGTTAAGGTAAAACCTCTGGTTGTTTTAATATAAACAAAACTCAATTCCCGTTATACTAGCTAACTTAGTTATATTGTAGCAAATAAATGAACTAGGCTAGTAAATAAATGTTGAAATAAATTAGCTCCTCATACATACTTCTTACATTATTTCTGTGATTTGTGTCGAAATAATGACTTTTGTCCCCCTGCTGGGTGTAAAACGTCTAAATAAAAATGTCCAGTTACATCAATAAGGTTTGAGATCTTTATTCTTTGGCTAAAGGAGCCTGCTCAAAGCCAGTAAAATACAAAGCAAGCTTTGCTAACACTGGTACACCAACTGAATAATGCTTCATACAGGTAACTTAACAAGAGCTTAATATTTATAGGAATTTGTTCTCTCGAAACAAGGAGGTATTAATGTTTAAGTCCAAAGCTTGCCTGAAACAAAGGCTACTTCCACCATCTGCAAGGTGTAAGAACTTATTATGGAGAACAGGGCACTCTCAGGCCAAAAAAAAGTTTTCTACGTAAATAAAAAAAACAACACTCAAGGATTTTAGAAATGTATGAAAATACAAAGCTGAGAGTTAATCTCATTTGGATGTCCTATCAAATCTTACAGCGAAGCTGTAAAGTATCCTGAGTGCTCTCGCAAATGGACAATTTGTTAGTGTATACCGTTTGAAAGCAATAAATAGCACCACAAAAAGCCTGAGTCAATTGTAACAAAACTATTGCTGCTGATTTCTGATTGTAATGAGAAGCTGAATCTGCAAATAAAATATAATATAAGAAAAATACACAGATCTGTTTAATTCATTGCATAGTATAACAAATAGTACAAAACTATCCCTGCCCCACAAAAAATGAAAATTAGACATCGGATTTAAAATAAGGAAAAATATACTAAAATGGTACATAACCCTCTTACTTTAAACTTAAATTCCCATGGCAGATATCAACAGCTGAACATGTTTTTTTTTTAAAGGGGGGCTATACGAAGACCTCTCAATGCTACAGCGCTCTGTCATATGCTTTAAAGATATACTTTTTTTAATTAAAAAAAAAAAGATAAAAAAGGGGACCCTCAGGAGACAAATTACAAACAAATAACAAATAATAGAAAAATCTTGGAACGTCCCAGAAAATACTAAGATCTGATGTAAATATTAATGCTAATCATATATTTAATTTTTGCTTGGTGGCATTTTACATAGTTTTTTTAACATTATAATCTCATTTCATAACAAAAAATCACAAGCTAGGCTGTTTAAACTGAGACGAGACAATACTGGATGTACAGAATGAGAACTAATGTGCAATCAATTGAAATGTAAAATAAAAGTGCCCTAATGACAATAGCGCCCTCTCCTCTTGGCAATGTGAGCTATGAGAAAATATTTAACTGAATAAGTAGAAAAAAAAAGTCCTCAGTCTCCAGCAGCATATATAGTATCTGTTTCACAACCCCTTAAGGCACCTGCACATCAGAGACAAAAAGCGAGGACTCGGGTTATTTTCACATAGTAGTGAATTGATTATGTCTTTAACCTGAATCTACAGCCACCTTCAATGTGTGAATCCAGTCCATGTGAAGGCAGTCCATTTCAATTTCCACAGAGACAGGTCACACACACAAAACTCTACTACAAAGTCTCATCTCTATGGTAGTCCTGAGGCCCCTCAATTACCTCAGTCATCCATGTACATTCACTTCCCTCCTTACTTGTCACAAAATATAGTACAGGGGCCAAAGCGGACCATACTTTCACCAGAAATACACCCGTATGAAGCTCAGGAGGCAGTGACGCCCTCCCATTCCACCAAGTACTGTACTTTTCCGTCGTCAGTGACGCGGCGAGCGAGTACACGGTACTTCTCCCCACAGGCCAGGCGACCCGCGGCTCCGAAGTAAGTGCTGATGGAGCTCTTGAGGTGGTTGAGCTGGGTGTCAGGGTCCAGGCCCTGCATGATGTCCATGCCGCTGTAGAGGCAGGAGGGGAGCGGGCTGGGCTCAGGTTGCGGCTCTGGGTTGCAGGGAGGAGAAATCTCTGGATTTGGGGGCTGCAGTGCTCGTCGCGGACGTCCCCGTCGCCTCTTTATTGGGGGCTGTGTGAAGGTGGGCCATAAGCATCCAGTGCGTGGTCCGCTCGTACTGCCCAAACTGGAGATGAACAGGGTACATGCATCTCGCTTTTGAACAATTAAGTATGACGTTTTGTTTTTTTATCAATGGTAGAGGTCCGTATGGGCATTACGTTGAGGCCTGAAGAAGCCACCCGTAAAATAATTTTTAATGTTAATTTAATATTTTATTATACATTCCATGCATTGCAATCCCACAAAAACACTAAATTAAATTACTGTTATCAAGACTATAAAAAAACTAAAATAAGCATAAATGATCAAATGTACAGAAAATTATAATTTATTCATTTTAAAAAGAATTAAATACATTTTATATGCACTACAGTTAAAAAGTTTGGGGTTGGAAAAATTCTTTAATGATTTTGAAATAACTCAAATCCTCAACACTACTGCTTTTATTTGATCAAAAATATAATATAGCATCAGTAATATTATATATTTCAATTTTAAGATATTCCATTGTTTACTATTTTAATCAGTCGTGCTACCTAATATTTATATTGAAACAGAGATTTTTTTCCCCCAGGATTTTTTTAATGAATAGAAAGCTTGAAAAACAGCATTCATTTAGATAAAAAATATTTTCGACTGTCATTTTTGGTCAATTTAATGCATCCTTTATGGGGGGAAAAAAAAGTTAAAATCTTTCCAAAAATATACTGACCCCATGAATGGTAACTTTTGAATGGTAGTGTATATATTTTTTTTTCCGCATATTCACAGTACTGAGGGGAGAATAATTGTCACTAACATAATGTCATATTGAAAAATGAAATCCTTAAACTGAAAATAAAATCACCTGGACTGCCTTGAGAGGCTGGTTGAGGTAGTTTCACTTGTGCTGGTGGCACCAACGGATTCAACATCTGAGGTACTTGATGAAGGCAAAGATTTTTCACTTTTGGCACACAAAAAAATATATATTTTAGTAATTTAATAAATGTAAATTGGCCTCATTTCAAAAACTACAAGATTAATTTTGTGTTGATCTCTGTCTCACCTTTTTGAGGCCATCAGGTCTATTGAGTTATTGTCTAGAGTTGGAAACTTCCCATTATTCTTCATAGAAAAAGGTTAAAAACAAAATGTTATGGCTACATGAAACTTTTTGAAATGGTCATAAATAATGGTCAAAAATAATGTCACTTATTTACCTGTGCCAACAGTTCACTTGATCTTCTCAATTTCGCCAACATCTCTAAAGAGTGTGTGTGATGCTTCCTCTTTCCTTTCTTCACTGCTCCATTAGTGACAATGCTACAAAATTAAATGTAATAAAATGTCATATTTATTTTTTATAATAAATGCAAATCAACTTAAATTATATAAAATATTCTTTTTAATTTAAACATTTAAAATGTTAAATTTACTTATAATATTAAGGAAGAAACAAGTGATGACTAACCTGGATAAAAGAGGGGGTTTTGAGGCTTTTCTGCCTTTGATTTTGATCTCATGGGAAGCTTTTTCTGGCTCTCGGTCTGACAGGAGCTCAGAGCTCTGGGGGGCCGGTGGGAAGCGAATTCGTAATCCAAACAGGTGCTTTTTCTTCTTAATCTCTTTCCCTGACATGAACCTAGAACCCAACAGGTCAAAGACTAGGTTCATACTGTCAATACAACATGATTGACGGTCAAAACTGTGTATCTCAACTGTTCAAATACAATATTTGTGCCCCAAAATATTGGTGGTTTCCATGGCAATGATTGAAGACACCTCATCACCAGACCAATGAGATGTCTCCACTATATTATAATTTTCTGCGAGACCTGCATATTGACACAGAAAAAACAACTTTGTTTCTGCAACAAGGTCTGATGTGTATACGTGGGGTGAGAAAGTAACAGAAAAGCTATGGGAAATCGGATTTATAGAAATGCGATTTGAAAAGGATAAAGATTTGAAAAAGATTTGTAAAAATCAGAGAACACTTGCTAAATATGATCAGATTCCAATCAGAAATGCACAAAAATTTGGATTTGGACTGACAGTATTAAGCTAAAAGGGCCAGATAAATTCATTCAAGCTCTACTGTATCAAGACAGAATGCCCATGATGGGCAAACAGATAAACTCACATGTTGAGGTTGCTGTTAAGTGCTTCCAGAATGCATTCATATCGTTCTGCTCTTGGGGTCTCTGCAAGCTGGAGGTACAAAGCCAGAAATGAAATGGAGACATTTAACACTAGTTAAACATTGGTGCAAATACAAAATACACAAAACGGACTGATACCTCGCCAAGCTGAAGCCTATCCCAGTTTTCATTTATGTAAGTCATCAGTTCGAGTTCTGAGTCAAAGTATTTCTTTTTATGAATTACACTCAGGTTATAGAGACTCAGGTGTGCAACATCTTCCCTGTGAAAGAACACAACACACAAGATAAGACTATTTAAAATAAAACATAGATAAACATTGTTTTTATGTAATGGCTGATTACTGATATGGCCTATATTACAGTTCTATACCACATGGTTTACAATACACTTTCACACAGCAGCAATTGAACCAAGTGTAAAAACAATCCAAAACTCACCATCTCAGAGGCAGGCGTTTGAGGTACTCTGGTCCACTATTACAAACGGAACAAATAAATAGATAAAACCTGAGAAAAAAGACAGAAGTTTTATTAAACATGACAAGACTTCAATTATTGGGTTTCACTTTATTCGATGATTCGAGAGCAGTACTTCACCTGTCTCCAAAGAGCATTGGCTTCTGAAAACACTGGATGCAGGCTTCATGAAACCACTGTTTACACTTATTACACTGCAACATCTTCAGATACCAACTGTGGGAGGAGAACATAAGTGGCATTACAATTCTACATCCTGCATCTACAATCCTCTGAACTGTGGGGATTATATTAAGAAGAACTATATCACAGAAACGTGTTTTTCAGTAATGTGCTGCACTCACTCGCCAGGACCTCCGCAGTAGCAGTAGCACTGCTGGATGTTGGTTTTGTGGCCCTGGTCCCACATTAAATCTTCAAGGGCGTATGGCAGAGACTGCTTCATTTCCTGTAGGGCTTTGGCATTTGGCCCCTTCTTCAGTGCACCGCCTCTCTATGATTTCAGAGATACAACCACAATAATTCATGACAGATAAACATGCCTCTAGCCTGCATATGGAGTCCTTAATTCTTAGGTGGAGTCAGAATTTATGCAAAACAGGGTTTACATATCCCTTCTAGTCACACCAGGGAACAAAAACAGAGTGTCCTGGGATTTCTAAAGCGCTGACTGTATTTTATGCTACTGTTAAAATGTTTGGGGACAGTACGATTTTTTTAAGAAAGAAATGAATATGTTTATTCAGCACAGACGAATTAAAGTGGTCATGAACGGAGAAATCAAGCTTTTGACAAAACAAAAAACAGCTTATATTGTAATCAAGCACCAGAGAACGACTCGTCATGAAATGTGCCTATAGATAGGTGAAAGACCGAGGAGAGAGGAGCGATACAGGATCACTGGACTAAAAATAACCTTCCAAAGGATCCTAATGCTAGGAATGGGATCATTTTCAACAATGTGAATGTCTCAGTTGAGCATTATATATTTGTATTCTATACATTTTACTGTGGATTCTTTGGTACATCAGTCGCAATTTCGGCACTGGCTTTGCAAACAGACCTGTATAATATGGACTCGACAGTAATGCGACAACAAGTTAATTCGAATGCCTGATCTGTGACCAGTGTTTTCTGATATGTTATGATTCATGTACAGTCACATGTTTGTCAGATGTTCATGGTTTTAGTAAATCAAACCAGTGACTAAATGGTCAACTTCACACTGTTTCTCTTAGTAGGAAAACAAAATAATCTGTTATTTAAACTGTGATTAAAGTATATGTAGAAACTTAGAAAGCAATCAAAGAACATTCCCTTTACAATCGCTGGAGCTGTCAATCAAACGGCGAGAGTTTATCAGTGACTGACTTCTGGACTCGCGCCAAAACTCCTGTTATAACGAAGTCCCATAATAATCAACAAATCTCTTATTTTAAACATATTTGCAGAATAAATTCTGAAAGATCATGTGACACTATAGTCATAATGCTGAAAATTCATTATTTTTAACTATATTAAAATAGAAAACCATTATTTTTAAATTGTAATGTTACTACACAATATTACTGTTTTTGATCAAATAAATGCAGGCTTGATGAGAAAAAGAGATTTATCAAACTGGCTAAAAGCTTAACTAGTAAATGACCAGATAACTTGCATGACTAGTTCAAGCAGACAAAACATGGGAACCTGTAGCAGTAATCTCTATTAATCTCCAGTATTACTACATTGTTTGATACAATATTGTTTTATTTGATATTATGTAAATGTGAACTTTTATTTTATATTGGTTTATTTGTTATTACTAGAGTTGAGCCGGATACTCGGCTGAAACGAGTATCCGGTACGGATAAAGCACTTTTGTCGAGTACAAATATTATACGAGTAATACGAGTCAATATCTGTGCTCGGATAAAAAAAAATATAAAAAAAAGTAATGTTGAAATTAGGGCTGAGCGATATATCAATATAAAGAATATATATTTTAAATGTGATATGTAATTAGAGTTTGCGCTGCACGCCTTGCTCCAAGCAAGCTGCTTAGTGCTGACCCAGAGCTCTCTGCACTGCTCCCCGCGCCCCAGTCACTCCTTTTCCACTTTGCGTGCTTGATTAAAGCATGTTATGTTATAACATGAAATAAAGTCTTTCACCTCAGCAAAACGGACTTTGTCCTGTCAGCCGTTATACTGTAACGTTAGTCGTAGCGCACACTCAATTGCACGCGCAAATGCGGCGGCGCGCGCTGGATCGCCTCACTGTATATAAAGTGCAAAAGAAACAACGAGCATGCAACACTGTTGCGTTGTATATAACACGAAATAAAAACAAAGCAGGTATGATTTTAATTCTATTCACCAGGAGCAGTTTCAATGTTTCATTAACAGTATTGTCTATTCACCAAGGTAACTGTCATGTCTATATTAACCCCTTAATGCCCCTATTTTTCTTTGTGTTATTTTTTATATTTTTTAAATGAATGTAATGGCTCATACCAACGTTGTATTGACAAAATAAATAAACCAATTAATAAATCACAATTACAATTCCAAGGGAATAATCTGCAATTAAGATTTTTGTCATAATCATGCAGGTGAAGAAACCTGTTAATTATTTATTCATTTGATTTTGCAAATGTTCATGTTTCAATAAAACTACTTGTGACATGTCATATTTGGCTTTGACTGAACATTTGCTCTCACTTTGCAGAAAAAATATCGGGATATATTTTGTATATTGAAATTCAGCCTAAATATATTGGGATATGACTATTGGTCCATATCACCCAGCCCTAGTTGAGATGAAAACTCTTGTTCGTTACATTTTACTTCATATTTGCAACCACATTGTATTCATTGTTGCAAAACTTGTTCTGTAGTTCGTTGTTATCGTGATCAAAACCATTGATCTGAAGCTCAATGCTGATGCTGTCATGTAAATAGTTTTCTTATCAGCAATAAATATAACAATTTCTGATCAACCCATATCAATTGCATGCTTAAAATAACATACCGGTTAAAGCTCCGCCCATTTCAAGACTACCCGACCCACTTCCGGGTTTAGGCCCCGCCCAGTCCGAGTACAGATACAGATACAGATAATTCATATGGTTATACAGATACAGATACAGATACAGATAATGCTGTACTCGCTCATCCCTAGTTATTACTATATGATACTTGTATTTATATTGTGTCCAGTTTGGCTCTGTAAATAAAGGGGTATTATTTTTGACAAAGTGTGTGCGGTTTCGTTTTCTTAAGTACCATTTAGGCACCGGAACCGTTTAAAATACAGAGTAGGTACTGGTATTGGATAACCCAACCTATACTCAACCCTAGTTGAGATGTTGCTTAAAACAGCACTGAATGTGCCCTCAACAAACCTTTGTTGTTGTGGCAAACACGCACTGTCTGCAGAGCCATTTGTCATCAGAGGCGATGACACTGGGGTCAATTATGGGAGCATGGCATAGCTGATGATATCCTGCGGAAGAGACGTTGAGCAGTGAAATCTCAAACTCAATCCCTAATGTGGTTGAGAGAAGTGACTTTACAAGAAGGATAGAGGCAGTCTACCTTGTCCACATTTGTCACAGATGACTATTTCATTGGGGGGCTCAGAGCTTTCATTCTGACAAATAGAGCAGAGCATTTCCCCTCCACTGTCCCCTAAAAGAAAAAACAAATAAAGACATGAACAAGTGTGCGGCTGTACAAGTCTGTCTTATCCATTACACTTGGGAACAGTAACGTGAGAAGGGGAGAGACTGCATTCAGAAGCTCGAAAAATGTCTAGGGGGTGGGGTTGGGTTTCAAAACATTTCAATATAAAAATAAAAATGTGAAAACCACTAAAGTTCACAAGAGGAGGAAAGATGTGCTATAGTTGACAACCATCAGTGCTGGTGAACACAAATACTTCACTGCAACTGCCACAAATATGAACTGAAGATAAAACTATGAGTACGTTTCTTTTATGCGTAGGCATGAACGCCTTTGTTGAATTGTTACCAAGAGATAAAGCGACAGATGCCATAAGTACCTTCCCTATTCTCGTCTCCTGGCTCGATGTGGAACTTACGGTTTGTGTAAGCCTGGAGACTCTGAGGTCTGTCAACTGTCAGAGACAAATTAAGAGATAACTCAGGCTGAAAGAAAGAGATGGGGAAGAGAAACCAAACGGCGGCAAAAAACAAAACCACAAAGTCAGACAGCTTGAAAGAAGCCGAATCAAAGAAGAATTGACCCGTCTTCAATTAAACTAATCAGAAAGAGAAGGAATATGATGTCGAAATGAAAGTTAGGCCTAGAATCAGTCAGTGGATGGTGCACTTATAAATCTAACTCAGGAGGATGTTCATAACACGATCTTCTCACTGAGACCCACCTCAGAGACGCCATCAAGACACAAAGATGGGTAACAGGGCAGTTTTCTTCAATCACAATGAATGTGGAGTAGTTTGTATTTACCTGTCTGAATGTCCTTCCAGAGAACCCAGGATTTAGACTGATCTTCAAAAATCACAAAGCAGCGATGCTTATGTTTATCTATCTGTGGAAAGCATTAATCAAAAGAAGTTCTGATTACTCAAAATAGAAGCAAGCTTTGTTGGCGATTATTGTTTGTGATTATAGAGGGAAACAGTGCCTGCCCAATTTTTCAGCAGCTTTGGCTCCCATTCACTTTTCTTTAAAAAAAAAAAAAAAAAGACTACAAACTTTGATTTAAGGCAACAACAAAAAAGTACTAAAAAAAAATCAGTAGACAACTGTGAATTTATTGACTTATTTATTGACTGCAGTCTGTAGCTTTTTTAGGGCTAAAAATTATCTAAAATACATATTTGATATAATGATGGCAACAGAGGAAAAACGCCGGACTGCAGTTGATGGCGACAGAGGAAAAACGCCGGACTGCAGCTTTAATGAGGGAAAGAACTACAATCCCATGTATTGTGAAAATTCCCAAGTATTGTGAATAACAAATTAAAAAAAAATGACAAATAAACATTGACTTAAAGACGTTGATTACATGTATACAAATGTATTTTGCTTTTAATTTTACATTTAATTCATTATATATATATATATATATATATACTGTATATATATATATATATATACACAAACATTTAGATACAGAGACAAATATATTACACAGTGTGTAATATATGTATATATATATACATATATATTATATTTTATATATACTTTGTATATATATATATATATATTATCACAGGCAATGTCAATCACCTGGAATTCTATTGTTAAACAATTATTTAAAAAATACCGTTTAAATAACGCAAACTGATGACTTCAACAAAAAGCACATGCCATCGATTAGCCACCTTGGAGCTCACAGTAGATCAATCTTTAACAAGTGATAAGTTATCATTCAATATCTATTTCCCTATGGAGAAAATGAATGGGAATTTTACTTCCAAAACGCAGCTGTTGCACTTTATTACGCTACACTAGTACATAGATTCTGATTGGTTAAATACTTTTGTAAAAAGGACCAATAACCTTTATAAAAAACCATTGCCCCAGGGCAACTGACTACTAACATAGCTTTGCTACTTCCATTACTTGCATCCTTATGCTGTGAATTTCTTTCCATACAATTTATCCAAGTCAATATCAGATTTCTATTTATTTATGTTAAATATACTTTGATATGATGAATTATCTGAATGTATTTGATTCTTTACACAATACACACCTTGGAGATAGTTCCCAGGTAAAACAAGCCATCTGACCATCGGGCAAGAACGTCCTGCCCTTCTTCAAACTTGTTGGCGAGCCTGGCCGTGTCGCTCTGCCCATCTTTCAGGGGAAATCGTGACAAGGGCACCGGTGACTTGTGTTGGCGATTTGGAGGTGTCTTTTGATGGGCGGCCAGGTTATCTGCACTTGCTGAGTCTCTGTCAAAGGACAAAAAAAAACAGCTCATAAAAATATGATTCAACCTCATTTTTGCCACAAAAAAGCAGTTTGCACCTGGTCAAATAAACTATTAAGGCTGAAAATGTAGTATCAGACTATCATTGAGCATATTTCAGAGGCATTCACGTGTAAAAAATCGCCGTGGGATCTTCTCAGGGACTGAGTGCACTTTGTATTGGCTGGTCAGTGAAGCGCCCATACAGAATGACAGTGAAAGCAAAAAAAAGCCTCTTTTGTTAGCAGCATAGCTGGAGAGAGCTAGCAGGATTTCTCATTCAAAACAATGTGCCAACAAATAAAAGCCTCCCGTCCAAAAGCCAGAACAAACTGTTTCACTGGCATCAGAAAACGCATGTTTAAAGCCAATAATTTTAACCTGCTGTTAAAGTGAGAGATGAAACCCCCCCGCACACCCCCTTTTTGTATTGTAACAGACTGATGTCTGGGTCTCTCTTACCTCATTCGGCCACTTTCCCGGGTTACTATATCGCACAAACAGAAAGAAATACACCATAAACGGGCAACAGGAGCTCCGCTTTGAATCGTTTTGATTCTGCTTTTGCGAAATGATTCAAACGCGTGAAGTGTTTTACATTACGGTAAACGGCTGGTTTTGCTCGCTCGCTCTCGCCATTTTTGTTTCCCGCTGAGCGGCAAATGCATTGTGGGACGCGCTCGCGCTCCGCACGGACTCACTTTCCCTCACAAAATTTGAAAAAGCGTTTGTGGGAGGATGTTTACCTCACTCACTCACACCGTCACTTAACTCTGCGCTTCTTTGACCATTACACTTCCGCGTCACTGTTTTGTCTTTACAGCGACAGACAGACAACTTGTATATTGGTCAGTGACAAATAAGTCCGAAGTCCAAAGTTAAGACAAATAAGTTATAAAAAGCCATCTTAGAAAAATGTAATTTAAAACACGTTTCACGATTTTTTTTTATTGATGTTGGTTTCATGCATTAAAAAACAAAATTTAGACTTAAAAAGCACTAAAATAATTTGCACAAACAGAGCAAGTAAATCTTTATGATTATTTTGCATTAAAAAGCGTTTTATAAACATATTATTTCAATGACTTCATCATTTGAAAAATTGATTTTGAGCTACACTGTAAAATATTAGCCTGTATGATCAATAAGTTATGACAACATGTTTTTACATTGCTTTAAATCATCAAAAAAGGATGAAATGGCTTAAAATCCTTAAAACTTAAGTTGTTTGTATTAAGATTTAAGTCAGCAACTTTTTAATTTTTTTTATTTTATTTTTTGCAATGCATGAATATTTGGAAGTTTGGGTGACGTCCCCTCCGTTTGGCTGTTTTCTAATAAAAGCATTTTAAAATAATTTCTTTAATAATATAAAAGATTATTTTAACTACTTGTGCTTGTCACTGTTCAGCTTACCAAAATGTTTGGTTAAGTTCCTCACAATATTACGTAAACAATACATTAAAATGGCTACCACTGGAATTAAAAACATTATTACAAGCTTAGCCTACCGCTCTGAATCAAGCTAAGGCAAGCAGAGAGTTTTGAACACTGGCTGGTTATGTATTTTCTCAAATAATATTTTGGATCATTTTTAACCCCAAAAAGCTATGGACTGCAGCTTTAAGTTATCTGTTATGAACTGCATTTTAGTGTAATTTGTAATAAAAAATAAACAAAGAAGAGAACATCAGGTCAATGATCCTTTTTGAACAACTTCTAACTTCTATATGGATTATACATTTGATTTATGTCCAGGAGCTTCAAATTTTCTTTTTAATCACTCAATGAAAAAGCTATTTGAATATGAAAGAGAAGATGAAAGAGGTATGGGACTGCTTGAACAGAATTTGCACGTTAGATTTGTATAAATATACATTTATTTTGAGCTTTAAAGACAGTTATAAACAACTTTTAATATTGCATATAGCACTATATCATTTTATGGAAGTGCTGTGCCTTATATTTATGCACCTTTATGGTGGCCTCACCAATGAGGCCAAACCTCACATGCAAGGAATACAAATGCAGCATTAGGCCACTAGCATGCCATGCTTTTGATGAAAGTTATCAAAATAATCTTTATGTTGGGCAGTTTTGAAGTTTTGATAAATAAGCTTGTTTCTATTGTGCCTTTTCAATTTTAAATGATTAATTTATTCATGTATTATTTATTGTAAAACATGAATTTAATAGCCTATTTTGTTGTGATTTAAAAAGTGATTTATTAATTTAATAATTATTTATCCCTTTATTTTATATTTAAGTGTCACCCCTAGTCCTACCATGAACCAGCATGTGGTCTCTAAATGAATTCTCAAGACTTAAGCTTGTCAAGGCTGGATATTAGGTCAAAGTCTGGATCATTCCTAAATGGCACTGCACATTCACATTAATTAGCCTCTATATTTTAGTATAGTTTTTATTAACATTTTTAACTAGTTTTTAGTTTTATATTTTTAGTTTTAGTTAAATTATTAGTAATTTTGTTGTGCTTTTGTCATTTTTGCATTTTTTTTTAACTTTTTTAAATTGCTGTTGTTTTAGTTATTATGAAAATGAGAAATGTTGCCTTCATAACTATCTGAAATAAAATAATATTAAATGAAAAGGAGGGCTTGCTGCGCTTCTGTAAATTCACAAACAATCCGCTGCAACCAGGCCAGGACAAGATCAAACAGAAAAGAAGAATCGCCGGTGCAACGCATAAATCTTCTTGGTAACAAATTTATTTGAGGTGCAACAGTGACTTGACCAGTGTTGGGAGTAACGCATTACAAAAGTAATACATTACAGTAACATATTACTTTTTGCTGTAACGCAGTAGTGTAAGGCATTACTAATCAATTTTCAGTAATATTTTACTCGTTACATGTTCAGTGAGGCTTGTATTACATTTGTATTACACAGTGAGGCTTGACTTTTAGTTTTAATTGTAAAAAAAAATACAGCAAGATTGTGAGAATGGAAAATGCAAGTAGGCTAAGTTACCTGTTCGTGGTCAGTCAATAGCCACGTGTGGTGTCCAAGTTTGTAAATAAAGGCTGATATATCTGTATAGCGATTTATTTTCTACAGGAGTGCGGTGAGGCATGATTTCGGCCTCTGTGCTCGCGCTGGCCAGTGGAAAAGCGCCTAATGGGTGAGGATGGTATGAAGAAGACCACATTCGTGAGATGAACGTATGCACTTTAGGCTATTTGTTCTGTGTTTTCTTTTTAAACAGTTAGGCTATGTATAGGTGGTATCTGTCATGTTTTTCTCACGCAATCATGGTTTTAATGCGGTGGTGACGTGTTCATGCAGTAAGGGTGGCTATAATAAAGCACCTAAAAGCTGAAAAAGCAAAGATATGAATATATCAAATATGCCTATAGCAAGGAGACTTGAATTGTTTAGTAATAAAGATGAAGTTGACGATGCTGACTCGCGATCTTCGCAGTAGGCTAGTGAATGCGAAATGCACATTTCATTTCATAAGCAGAGAGCAGTCTGTTTTCTTTCATTTTGAATTGTTCTGTTTACAAGTTCAGTATAGATATATTTTTCAGGTCTGTGGAGTAGGCTATACTTATACGCTGAGTTTCGGTATCCTACGCACAATCAAGAGCCAGCAGCACAATCAAAACAAATGTTCTTCAGCAAAATGCGTGCAAAAAGCTGAAGGGCCATAGTGTTACATGGTACTTAATCATAATAACCCTTCTCTATAGGCTATACAACAAGCATTTATTAAATCTTAACAAAACACAGTTTAAAATATTCAAGATAGCCTAACTTTTAGCACTGGGCAAAAATAGAAATGAAAAAGTTTACAGAAATGAAAGCAAGCCAAAGACTCTTTCCTAAAATAATACATAGGGCCTACAATTCAAATATAGATTTCAATTAAATATATAGGCCTAACTTTCGGGCTCATACTAAACTACATAATAAAACAAATAATATAGGCAATACAGACGTGACAAATACATTTTTTGTCCATGTTTATATTGCACGTTGCAACTATGTTAGCATTTATGACTATTAAGTGTTTGAATTTGCATATGATACGAAAAATGTATTATGTGCGTGGTGTTCAATAGAGGGCGCCAGTGAACATGACGCACAATTTGCTCAAGGAAAAAAAGCACTAGCCCTACATTAGGTCGGGCTGCAGAAATTGTATGTGTACGCCTGCGCCCTTGACATGCTGCTGTCTCGCTGCTTTATAACAGCTGCACTTGAAAGTGACGCTGGATACCAACGCTGACGAACCGAATAACATGAATTCTTAACACAACGCGTAAATCTACACAGTATCCTTCGGGGAGTCTATTCATACAAGGATATCGGCTGGCCGTGAGTACAGTATACACGTCATGTGTCGCGCGAGCCGAATCACTTGAAGTTCGTTGAAGATTATTTCATTTTCTTATTCGGCATATGGAGACTGCTCTAGATAGCTCACAGTCTTTGAGATGATCCATTTCTGCAATGGCGAGGGGTCTGTTTTCACGGGCCTGGCTGTCAAAGACTTACCACTTTCAGGTAATAATGCTTTTGAAAATGTATGCAGCAGTAGCCCATTTTTACGCTGAAATAAAATGCTACCTACTATCTCCGCGAATGCTTGGTGCGAATGAATTGGTGAGAATGAACGGAGCAATGTGAATGACCTTTAAAACCGAGATAATTTATTTTATATTTAATATATTGTTTTTAACGAGTGCAGCTGCTGTTTTAATCTGCTTTAAATCAGCTATTGACCGTTGTTGTGTGACAGGTCTCGTAACTCTCGCTTTTGAAAAGCAGTAAAAAATACGTTAGAGGCATATGGTGGTTAGGGAATTCCTAGTTATTATTTATGGAAATAAGTTCTCCATTTACCCTTGAGAGGACTGGGTTGCCATGGGCTTCTGCTGTGAGATTAATCCCCTTCTCTTGACGAAGTTAAAACGGTCTCATGTCAGCCTGTATAACTCCACAACAGGACTAAGGAGCTTAAACAGAAGCCAGGCTTAGGGTTGCACACATGTGCAGTGTTTGTTTAATTTACATATAAATGGAATTCAAAAATCACATATGAATTACAGATGAAAAGATTACTTTTTAAATACACTAACCATTTGAGTTAAAATATTACCAAGTTTGATATTTTGAGATTATTATTAGAGATAGACAATATCATATCTATAAGGCTTTGTAGACTCCGGACCTTTGTACTCAAGCTCAGTGAGCATGTTTCTGAAAAAGCAGTCAATCCAGTTCCAATTTGTTTAGCTAGCTATTTTTTTAACCATTGTGTACACCTTTTATGATATCATATTTTCCTTAGTTATAAATATGTTCTTTGCACATTTTGTGCTTTGGTATAACACTAATCCTTGTGAAAGTGTCCCTTAAATTTAATGCATGAATGTTGCTAATCATAATTAAATATTCGGGACTTTAGCGAATTTGTATCTAACACAGATAAATCTCTACCTGTGTTGATATATTAGGCTATAAAAGAATAAAATAAAGCACAATACAATATATAAATAAACACACACACACACATATATATATATATATATATATATATATATATATATATATATATATTAAATGCTCCAAACATTGGAGTGCCTTCAAATATTAAATTGAGATCGTAGAAATAAATTGAGTTCACTTTTAAGAAACAATATTTTTAATGTAAAACAGTAATATTATGAAAATCATTACAGCTTAAAATTGGAAAAATTATACAGAAAATGTTAAATATTTTTCACATATTAAATAACTATTATTTTATTATATGCATTTTATAACTATTATTTTATTAATTAACTATTATTATTATTATTATTATTATTATATATTTTAATATTATTATTTAAAATTGTATTTATTCTGTATATGGCTTGATCACTTGATCCTTCAGAAATCCTTTTAATGTGCTGATTTGCTGTTCAGGAAACATTTCTTATTATGATCGACGTCGAAAAATATTTATTATTATTATCAATGTTGTTCTTAATTTTTTTTTGTGATTTTGACTAAAGATTCTGAAGACAATTTTTTTTCTGTGGATTAATTTGCACAGATTAATTGTTCACCACAAGACTGTGTGCTAACAAACTAAATATTGATTTTGTTTTAAATTGAAACAAGTTTTGACAAATCGACCATTTTTATATGGTTAGTAAATGTCCTCCAAAATAAAAGTTGTTTCCAAGGGTCATATCCTTAATAAAAAGTTTATATCTGGCAGTACTTACAGTGATGAATGTTGTATCGCACATGAACTGAAGTAAAATGGCATGGAAGTAGAGTTTGTCGTACTCACAGCTGTACCAAAAACAAGATGAAGGTGTGTGTGGCCGAGTGAATCACAGAAGGAATCGGCAGCATGATGAATTGACTTGGTCTCTGTGCTGACAGTGCCAGAGCTGGTGCTTCCATGCAGGAATGCTGACTCTAGTCTGGAAAGCAGCAGGCCGTAGGGATAGGGGAGCATGTGGCATCAGATTCTTTAGTGTTGATGGTGTGATGGGCCACTGATTTGTGGAAAATAAAGTGTACGGCAGCAGATGTTTTTATCCATTGTGAATTGATTCGTTTTTTTAAGAGAATGAAACCAAGTCTGAATGCAAGTTTGAAGTCACTTATAGAGGACTTTCCTCCTGAAACACTGGAGGTACAGTCTGAAATGTTCAAGCCCTTAAAAGTCGGATGGATTCTGATTGGCTGTCAGTGTTTGTAGTTCATCAGTTGGGACAAAAATTTGCTCTTGTGATTCTAACACTATCATTCTGCTTTGCTGTTAGTTCACTTTTAAAAAAAAACTTTTGCTGATAATTTACTCACCCCCATGTCATCCAAGATGTCCATGTCATTCTTTCTTCAGTCGAAAAGAAATTAAGGTTTTTGATGAAAACATTCCAGGATGTTTCTCCATACAATGGACTTCAATGGGAACCAAACGGTTCAAGGTCCAAAAGACAGTTTCAGTGCAAACTGTTCAAAGGGCTTTAAACGATTCCAGACGATGAATACGGGTCTTATCAAGCGAAGCGATCACTCATTTAAAAAAAAAAAAAACAAAGTTTAAGTTTTATAAGCTCAAATGGTCGCCTTGCTCTGTTCTGTGATGCTCTCCTGTTCGAACTCGTTTATCAAAATGAACAAATCTTTTTTCGTGTCATTTGGTTCATTCAATGAATGAAATGAACGAATTGACTCGGGGGGAAACGATTCGATAAAACATAAAACTGCGGGGGTGGATAAAACCAGAAGATCTACACCTACTTCAACCAACCAGTTTAGCCCTGCCCACCGATTTGCGCATTACATGCATAGCTAAATAACATAGACCTACCTCGTGATGACAAACCGAATCGAGCTACCGAGCAATAAACATACCATTTACAAAAGATTGTGCAGTGCCTGTTTGTGGAAGAAGACAGTCGCTGCAAGCGAGTGAGTTGAAACTCATTATAATATGCAAAACTGTTATCCACTCACAGCAGTGGGTGTTTACTATTAAGTCTTCAATGGGAAACGCCCATAAAAACAGAGCGTTTTTCAGCTGGGCTCAAAACTAGAGTAGAAAATAGCCTATTACTTATTCATTTTGATGTTTTTGAATGTAAAAACCAAGCAAACGTCATAAGCTGACCTCAGACAACAATATAAAAAAAATTTAAAAAGCCAATTCATGACCCCTTTAAACAATCACATTTGAACCGGAGCCAATCAACTACAAGTCCTATTGGGCATGTGACTATCCTGGATGGCACATTGTGATATCGAGACTAATATGATTTATCGTGCAGCCCTAATTGGCATTGCCTTTGGGTGACAACTGCACAAGGATGCTAAAGTACTCTAGGGCTGTCAAATTAAAATTCGAATTTCGAATATTCGTTGAATTTAAAATAAAAATCCACATTCGAAAAAAAGGTGCATTCAGTACCTACTAGAGCAAAGTTGCACTTTGACTGTTGCACAGAGTCACATGCTTGAATCCATGTAAAGTTAAAAGAAGTTTCATAAATGATGCTGTTTTGTTTATAATTGTTTGCGCAATTTACGAAATTATATTTGATTCATAAAGGAAATTAGTTATATTTTGGTCAAAAATTCAAATTTAGTTTTTCAGCCATTTTAACATTCTTAAAGTACTCTTGGATTTCAATTCTAGCAATTCTCTTCATCCTCACTATTTGAAATAGTGTTTGACCCTTTAGTTTTGCAAATGTGAGCATAGATGGCATGAAGAAAGTGCTTTAAATTGACAAGACAGAATGGTTTGGCTGAAAGTGTTGGCTGAAACTAACGTGTTCTCCTTAGCGTTGTGTCTGGCAGACTGGCTCTGGGCTGTCAGATTGATTTCTGAAAATGGACCCAGGGCTACATTTATGTGTGAAACAACTTCTCCTTAGATAATTGTTCTGGGCTGAAGCTGCTTGTAAGTCAAAACAGTTAATTAAGCCATTTCAGCAGCAAGACAGCAGTTTGCTGAACTAATTTTCACACTGATAGTGCTTGCGAAGGTTGAGAGGAAACGTTATACATTGCAATGTGAAGGTTTGTGGTGGTTGATTTGCAGCTCTATACTTGAACACCACCCTCATGTGCTCCATAAAACACAGACTAGCGTGATTTGGCAGCAAGGAACAAATCTGAAACAAGCTCCTCTGAGACATTTGTACGGAGAATCTGGCTTTTTCCTCAGTTTTTGGCTTACATTCATCTCATGATCACACACACATCTGGATGGAGTTTTTCTTGGTGACTTTCCTGGACGACTTTAGTTCAAGACAAGTTCATATGCTGGACAACATGATTAATTATTTTCAATATGGTTTGAGTAGCAACTTAAACTTATGTCACAGGGTTAGTTTACTTCAGAGGTATTCTTGCATAAGTGTGATGAGTGATTTTGCACTACATATACACATTCTTAGCATACCTTTTCATTGAGACTTTGTGGTAAATCTGGTGTACAGTTAAAAATGTCTTTGGGCTTTCAATATAAACATACTCTGGATTGAACTTTGCGTTTTTTGAGCCAGCATACCCCGAGTAAGCAGGGTTTAATTTAATGAACCGAGATTTTAACCCACGGTGTTAACCTTGCTTTCTGGAATACCCCCCAGATAGAGCCCGACGATAAAGGATTTTGAAGGCCGATACCGATACAAATATTTGTTGGTTTTAAAATCCGATATATCGGCCGATATTTTCTTATTTTCATTTCAGAAACGCGCAACAAAACATTAACTAATTTCCCTAACATTAGTTATTTATGAGTTTTAACTTAAAATAATATGATAATGCATTTTAAAAAGAATCTTGTTTCTTTTATTGTCACAACAGAACAGAGGAACATCAAAATATATTAAAGTTCTGATAAATAAAATAATAATTAGTCCCTACATTGCCTTATAAGCTACCTTATAATTACAATGTCAGCTTGCTTATCCCTTTACCTGCACTTTTAAAATTCTTTCCATCAAGTCGCAGGATGCGTGGCACGTTAAATACGAGTGTCGCCAACAGGGATGGTGTAGAGTGCCCTCTGGTGGACAAACTATACAACTCCAACACAAATGACATGGTTGAAACGTTTCGTCCATTTTTATTTCATTTTTAAAATATTAATTTATCGGCCATTATAAATGCCGATACCGATAGTTTGGAAAATGTCTAATATCGGCCGATAATATCGGCCTGCCGATAAATCGATCTGGCTCTACCCCCAAATATCAAAAATACCAAGTCCTGTCAGAGCCATAGGGTTTAAAGCAGGTACTCTTATATTGTGCATTTAGGAAAGCAACAGGTGTCTATTACTAAATTACTATCAACAATTTAAAGATAAAAAAGAAAAGAAAAGTCAAGTCCTAGCTTAAAGTTATGCGTGGACTGTATTGTCTGGATCTCTGAAAATCATGTGAGAGTAATTATGAAAGGTTGAATGATAGGAGTCACAAGGGAGAACATTTCAGACAAATCTAATTTGGACTTTTTAAAGACCGAGTCCCTCTGGGAAACTAACCTGTAATCATGTCTGAAGGAAACTAGTATTTATACCTTCCAGCTTCATTGCAGTTTTCTCGTATGAAGAGTGAATGGGATTTCTGAGTTATGGAAGGAAATAAAATCTGAGCTTGCTGTTGTATTACAGAAGCAGCAACTCAAGCCCACATAATGGGTCTTCTACTACTTTGATTCACAGTGTGCAATCATTTCCACTAGTAGCACCAAACAGGATTGCAAAGGAGTCCGTGTTGCTGCTCTGGGCTGGTTCTCATATTTTAAACATATTGGTCTTATTTTCAGAGCAGTATGTCTTGGATCATGAGGTATTAACTGTAATTTATTGCAATGTAATTCCAAATGATTGTAAAATCTCCAAACAGCAAATGCACAGGCTGAGTTTAGACTTTACACTGAGAATAGCGCAAGGACTTATTTCTGTCAAAAAGAACACATTAAGCTTTGCATTACATGGACCTCAAGTATATTCACCCACAGATATAGCAATTACTTTCACACAGGCATGGAAATGGCATATGTAGCACACGGCTTTAGTATGTAGCCCCGTATCTAATGCAGTAGAGCCTATAAACACCTACGCTAGGCCAGTACCTTGCCATTTGCAACAAAGTGGAAGAAGCAGACACTTAGCCACATTATGCCGTTTGTATTCTAACAGTTTTAATGAACACACGTAAAATAACAGCTAGTGTTTGTGTTTATTCTTTATACTTGACCTGAAAATGTATGATGTTTTACAGCATTTGCCAAGTAATTGATTTGAGCAATTGTTGTATATTCGGCTCTACTGTAATCTAAACTACTGTTCGGATGTTTGGGGTCAGTAAGATGTATTTGTAATTTGTATGCTTATTCTGCAAGGACTCAGTAAATTGACCAAAAGAAAGTGTAGTAATAGATCTCTAAACACTATATTTATAACAATATTTGCGCTTCAAGTGACCTGAGTTCGAGTCTCTCTCTCTCTCTCTCTCCCACTTTTTCTTTCTGATAGTTCTCTGGGGCGAGTTGCATAAACTGCTACGACTAGTCATCCATTTTTTTTCTTCAAGAATGTTCATAACTTTTTAAAGTTAGTTATATAAAAACAGACATTGGTCTAATTTGATACCGAACCATCAGATTGATTACCCCTAACTCACTGCTATTTGGTCAAACTAGTAACCCCGTAAGACCTTCGTTCATCTTCAGAACACAAATAAAGATATTTTTGATTGAATCTGAGAGCTAGATCAGTCCTCAGACCCAGAAAGTCATTAAAGAAAAGGTTTAAATATTCCATGTGCCTACAGCGGCTCAATTACAAGTTTATCAAGTGACGAGACTACTTTTTGTGCGAAAAAAACATAAATAACGACTTTATTCCACTATTCCATTACTTCCTTATGGGCGCATGCGCGAGAACTGAGACGAGGACGTTCTCCTTCTACTACTTTTTGTTACCGGCTGCTCCGCTTAGGAGTTTTACCGCCCCCTACCGTATAAAATGATGATCCATATATAAGGCGCTCCGGATTATAAGGAACACTGTCATTTATTGAGAAGATTAAAGGCTTTTAAGTGCACCTTATAGTGCGGAAAACACGCTAATTGAAAAGCGTATGTACAGCGCGCATCTTCCTCTGCTTGTAAACAGAAAGTTTTGCGCTTCCAGCTATATCATCATCTTATACGGTAGGGGGCAGTAAAACTCCTAAGCGGAGCAGCCGGTAACAAAAAGTAGTAGAAGGAGAACGTCCTCGTCTCAGTTCTCGCGCATGCGCCCATAAGGAAGTAATAGAATAGTCGAATAAAGTCGTTATTTATGTTTTTTTCGCACAAAAAGTAGTCTCGTCACTTGATAAACTTATAATTGAGCCGCTGTAGGCACATGGAACATTTAAACCTTTTCTTTAATGACTTTATGGGCCGTCAAGAGCCAGTCCCTTAGACAGTCTATCTAGGACTGATCTAGCTCTCAGATTCAATCAAAAATATCTTTATTTGTGTTCCGAAGATGAACGAAGGTCTTACAGGGTTGGTACAGCATGGGGGTGAGTAATTAATGACTTAATTTTCATTTTTGGGTGAACTAACCCTTTAAGACACTGTCTTAACATAATGGCTATGTTTATGCAAATGACCCCTGTACTCTCTCAGTAAAGCCAAAAAGGCCAAAAGAACACCACAAATAGCCAGTAAAGACAACTTCCAGTGGCTAGTACAACGCTACTACTCTACATAGTGATGCCCCTTGATGCTTTTCACTTTAAACTGCTGTAAAACTCAATGCCCAAAGTGACATGGTAAAGCTTTGGTGACCGCAGTAACCACAGCCTTTTCATTTCTGCAGTATAAAGAGCTTCATGCCGATCTTTTTGTAGTTCAAAGGCCTTGTGTGCAAGAGAACCAACAAAAAACCCTAGTCTTGGGTGTCTGTCAAAGAGACTGTCACTTAATTAAAATGTGTTGATGTAGCAGATGAGTATTGACCTTGCTTCAGTTAAGATAAGAATGATCAAATTGTGGTCTGTGCTCATTTCATGACCCATTGGGTGGTAGTTAGAAAATAAGTGGTTTGTTGACTGTGGTTGGGTGTATTTCTTTGGACTTGTTGTAGCAGGAAATTTTCTGTTTGTACTGGATGAAATGTGTTGATGTGTGTATTCAGCCTCTTTTTTGTTTTTGAAATTTGACATGAGTCATGAACTATAAGTAAATATTTGACTTCTCATGTTCAGTCGGGATTTGAGTTTACTTTTAGCATGGACTGTGTTGAAGTTCACGACCCAGGTTTATGTTTACTTTCCGCTTCTTTCCCCTTAGGCTCGTCTGTCCTACACTCGAGTGAAGTATCTCTTTCTCACGTGGCTTGCTGTATTTGTGGGTAGTTGGGTTGTGTACGTGCAATACTCTACTTACACTGAGCTGTGCAGAGGACGAGAGTGCAAGAGCATCATTGTGAGTACGACCCTCTCTGACAGTTGCATTCATTTCAGTGTCATCTTGATACATCTTGATCATTATTGGATACTTAATCGTGCAGCTAATTTTACATTTAGTTTACCTTTGCCATCTGATGCTCTTAAACACTAACAATTTAACACTGTTAAATGTATTCTTTAGCAAATCTCAAAATTAATATAATTTTTTCACACTGTACAATATAATGATTGATGGGATGCCTAAATTCACTTGTTGTATTTATTTTAGTTTCTTTTATCGATTATTGGCCAAAATATTTTAATATTTGTGCATCCCTAATAACAGGACAGTGACATTTAAAGGGAATAATTCACTTAAAAAGGAACATTCACCCTCATGTTGTTCTAAATGCATATTTCCCCTTCTTCCATAGAAAATAAAAAGACATTTAGCAGAATCGAATTAAGCCATATGATGGCTTTGTGTGAGGACAGATACTTAAATTCATCAATCAAAGTTCATCATATTTGAATTTGTGCACAAGATTTCAGAGTTATAGTGAAGGGCAAGATTTTTTTTGTATCACACAAAGCTTTTGAGACTTTTAGAATAGTACATAAGTCATATGAGCCCCTTTCGTGGTGCTTTTATGTCGTTTTTTTAAGCTTCACAGCCCCTGCCACTGTATTGAAAAGAGCAGCTTAAAACATTATGTAAAACATCTTTTGTGTTCTACTGAACAAAGAATGTCATATGGGTTTGATATAACATAAGGACGAGTAAATTATGGCAACTTTGAATTTTGGGTGAACTATCCCTTTAAGCCATAAATGAGATAAAAACAAACATGCATGTACTACTACTATCTAACCCCCAGCCCCACCTATTGGTGATGTAGTGAAAATGTTTCTCCGGTATTTAAGACATTACACAACATCTTATTGAAAGGCTTCCACTTATTCAACAGAATGTCACTTACATGTTAATTGAAATGGACCTTCCTTTTCCAACAGTGTGACAAATACACCAAAGGTATTATTGATGGCTCTGCCTGTAGCAGCCTGTGTGAAGAAAGCTCACTTTACTTTGGAAGGTGCCTCTCCACCAAGCCAAACAATCAGGTATGATGCAATAAGGCCACGTCCATTTATTTAACGTTCATTCCAGGTGTGTTTAAACTGCAACGAGACTTTTCAGAATGCTTCAGGGCAAGCACACCGCAAGTCATATGACAAGAAACGACCAATCAGCTTCGCCCTTTCCGTTTGAAATGAACATTGACAGCTCTGCCAAGGTGGAGTAACAGCTGATCATTGCAGTACAATATACATCACATGGCTAAATATGCATTATCATTATAGAATACCATCATTTTCGAATACCACACTACAACGTGAAAATGCCATGCCATTTTGAAATGTATCCACTTTGAAGAGATTCTTTAAAAATATCGATTTTCTGTGGACAAAAGGCCAAAACATTCATTTTACAACAATAAACCTTCCAGCAGAGTCTAACACTAATGCTGCCTTCTCGTGCTATCCAAATTATCGCAAACACGACTTGTCAAAAAAATTGGACATGAATGCTCTCTCAAGTCATATTTACCACTGGGATGCTCAGGGATCATTTTGATACCCGAGTTCTCAAGTTGGGCAGACAATAAACTTTAAACATGGCGGAGGGCAGAAAGATTGCTACTTGCTTGGTTAATACCAAGTAATTATTATTTCTAAATAATTATTATTTATTTATATTTATATTGTATGTTTTATACAGATAGCCTGTGTTTGACTAAAATTCCAGAATCGTATGCAAGCTTTCTATATAGTGCTGTCGAGCCCTCTTAAGGCATCATGGGCTAGTCGACGAAACACTGAGGACGGAAGGTGCCCAATTGAAGACCCTAGAGATGTCCCCTACTCGGCTCAATCCAGACGGTTGTGGTGCTGGTCCACTCGAGAGACCATACTGTAGTTGCAGCCGTCGTGTGTGCTGACGCACGAAGTACACTGCAGCCGTTAATGCCAGACAGAAGGGGCGTGACATCACCATATGGAAAGAAGCGTAAATGTATGGAGAAGCATAGTTTACTGTAAAGCTACATCTTAGTTTGTGCTTATCTTGGCGAAAGCCGAGTACAAATCAGCATGAAGTTTAGAATAAACCTGTGTCCTGCATGATTCATGTTCTTTCTGACAATAAAGCACTTGAATAAGACAAGCTCGTAATCACGATTTCAGAAGTGGGAAGCAGGAAAAGTCCCATAGTGTGTGAAGGCAGCATAATTAAATGCACCAGAACATGCATCACACCACATGCATCTCAGTACTGTCATGTTGACATTGTGTGTTCATCTACTCTTAGGTCTATACAGGCAGCTGGGGTGATCTGGACGGCATCATTAAGTGTCAGCTGAGTGACGTCCTGCACTATGAGCTGGGAGAGGAACTGGAGCCAAAGAAAGAGATCGCACTCTTTGACAAACCCACTCGAGGAACCTCTGTAGAGAAATTCAAAGAGATGGTTGCCAGTCATTTGAAGGTTGGAATACTTTTTTTATTTTTTATTTTTTTTAAACAATGGGGGCTTTCACACTGGTTTGATCTAGGAACTAGCCACCAGGGTGGTTCCCCAAGAACGAATCGTTCCCCTTGGAACATTTTACCGTTTGTGTTCACACCACTATTAGGAACTCTTAAAGGAGAAGTTCACTTTAAAAAAAAAAAACGTTTGCTGATAATTTTCTCACCCCCATGTCATCCAAGATGTCCATGTCTTTCTTTCTTCAGTCGAAAAGAAATTAAGGTTTTTGATGAAAACATTCCAGGATTTTCTCCATATAATGGACTTCATTGGGAACCAAACGGTTCAAGGTCCAAATGAGAGTTTCAGTGCAGCTTCAAAGGGCTTTAAACGACACCAGACGATGAATAAGGGTTCTGAGCGAGAACGAGCGAGAAACACAAACTGCTTTATGGCAATTCGATAATTATAAGATACTGTGTATGATGTATTACCCACCTTGGTAGATATAGCTCCAAAGTTGGCTGACTCCAATAATAACAAATGCACATGAGCAGCGGGAGGAAGGTGCCGCAAGTTAGGTTTTTTTATGAGAGTGTTGTTAAAAAAAATACACCGCACAGCTGTAGGGGGAGCTCGATGAGAAAACATGCGACAACAAAAGTCAAAATCAGTGAAGAAATGACTAGAGTTGCTAAGTGCCCCTTTAAAGTCAGAAAGTAATGGACGTAGCAACACTTATTCTTTCATATTGCAACATGACATGACTTTTGCATAAACATCTCTATGCATTTTGAGCTATCCTATGTCTACGACATTAACGTCCGCGTGATTCCGCGTGTCTGTACACGCCGTCAAATGTCCGAGCGAAACGAAGCAAAATGTACGTCTACATCTGGGGAGCGATCTTTTTCTTTCCTAGAATGGTAAGGGAACAGTCATAAATGCCATTAACCCCAGTGACGGGTAGGTTTAGGGACGGGGTAGAGGTAAATCATATATTTATATATACAGTAATAATGTTAAGTCAACGGCGTTCATAAACACGCTGAAAAGCGATTATGCGTGTTGATAGCACGCCAAAAATGGAAATACGAATTGGCGTGTCATACACGCGCTACTTCATGAGATCAGTCTGAATATCGTGACATACATCCGAGTGAAAAGAAGAAAGAAAACATGGGCGAGGACTCGGTTCAATTCATCGTCTGTTGATTGGACGAAAGCCGATCTAAATGCGAGCTTGCAGTTGTTTGAACTAAAAGGGGCAGTTTAAGTGGACCAAATGATTAGGTACTATATTGCATTCATATTTGCTGTGAATTGTACCATACCCCATAACACCTTTTTAAGGTGGACTCTGATATGGATCGGCGTTAAAGCACCCTTATAGGCTTTGGCATTTCTTTTTTTTACTGCAATTAGTTGAGTACAAACTCATAAAATCAGTAAATTCCTTGTTTTGTTCCTACAGGCAAAAGTTGGAGAGCAAGCCAACCTCTCCAGTTTGGTAAGCCTGATCCTTACAGTGGCGGACAGCAATAAAGATGGCCTCATCTCTCTCCCCGAGGCCAAGTCTGTTTGGGCTTTGCTGCAGCTCAACGAGGTTCTGCTGGCAGTGGTGCTCCAAGACCGAGAGCACACACCTAGACTGTTGGGCTTCTGCGGGGACCTGTACGTGGTGGAGCGGGTGCCTCACGCCCCCCTGTACGGCCTCAGTCTGCCGTGGCCCATGGAACTATGGATCCCTACGGGCATGCGGCGAAGCATGGACCAGTGGTTCACGCCTTCCTGGCCCCGCAAGGCCAAAATCTTTATCGGCTTGCTGGAACTTGTAGAAGACATCTTCCACGGTACCTTTGGAAGCTTCTTAATGTGCGACATGAGAGCCAGTACTTTCGGTTACAACGATCGACACGACCTCAGGCTGGTGGATGGGCGGCGTGTAGTTGCTGAGGAGGCCTTCAAACAGGCCATGATCCTTCAGCGCTGCGAGGACGATGAGGACTGCGTGTACGGCGTGGACTGTAGGACTTCATGCGACCGCGCAGAACACCGATGCATGGCCGAGGTGACTCAGCCCAACCTGGCCAGGGCCTGCGGAGCAATGAAGGATTACCTCCTGCGAGGAGCTCCGTACCATATACAGGAAGAGCTGGAGAAGCAGCTGTACGCCTGCATGGCTCTCAAAGGTTCAGCCGAGCAGATGGAGATGGAGCACTCGCTCATTCTCAACAACCTCAAGACCCTGCTGTGGAAACAGATCTCGCACACCAATGACTCCTGAAGGAAAAAGAAGACGCGCTGGCGACTACGTTCGTTTCTTGAATGTCTTCTCAGGCCATTGTGAATCTGGCTGGAGATCACAAAAGTGACTGGAAAAAAATGCTGATGGCAATATTCAGTGCTGCTTTGGTATTAAAGTGTTCTTTAGAAGGGGGTAGAATTAAATCCGAGAGGACTTTTTTCTCAGGCTCAACTTCAGAGTAACGTTCACGTCTGTCTCGTGTTTATGTCGTCATGCTTTGTCATACATGATTGATCAGTGATCATCTTAAATTCACAATTCCTTCAGATGTTATGAAGGAGCAAATGATGCTAACTTTACATCCATTGTTGGATGTTAACAAAAAAAATTAAGGAATGCACTCACCACCGACTGTGGTTGTGTGTCATGTATTGTAATGTTTGTCACATTAGCACAGCAAAAAGTGTCATAAGAGCCATTTTGAAATGGACAGAGTCCAATGCCTTGATGTGCATGTTGCCAGTGAGTGTGTGTGTGTTTTATTTCTTAATTCGCAATAAGGTTCAATTTGATAACATTAGCTAACATGAACTAATATTTCTAATTCATTTATTTACCTAGGTTTATGTTAAGTTATAAATATACTAACATTTCTAACATTTTAAGTTACACAAATTACCATTGAGCAGTATTTATAAATTAAAATGAACCTAGAGTAATATGATGTAAATGAACTTTATTGTAAAGCGTTACCGATCTAAATGTTTACAAGGGGTTTCGTGAAACATGCTAAAGGAAGGAAGCCTCTCAACTATGAAATTTCACAGCAGTGATCATTATATCTCTAATCATTTTTTTTTTAGTTTGTTGGGTTTGTGGAGTTATACTCCTAAGGCATGTCTAGTGAAAATCATCTTGATATGGTAAAAATGAGATTTTAATCTAAAACAGTGTGAAATGTCAATCATCAGTCATGATTCTTAATGTACTAATGAATGATGAGATAAAAAGTGCTTTGTTTTTTCATCAACCATTTTTCAGTGGGATGTTTCAGATTGTTCGTTGTCAGACTGCTTCAATTTTGTGTATTTATCACACTGCTGCTGATAAAAGAGTTAAATGGAGATTTTTATAAGATTTGATTGCATGACTTTGCACATTAAAAGTGTTTCAAATTATCTCCCGAATCAATCTACATCGTCTCATGTTCTAATGTGCCAAAAGACCACAAAACACAATATTCTTTCCAAATGATTTATTTGGAAAAGGTGCACACTTTCTTTGGAGCAGTTGACAGTTCTTCTCTTCAGTCTTCTTCAACAGCCTCCTGAGCCCGAAGGAAACTGGCCTTTTTCTGGGCCACACGATCCTTCCTCTGGGCCAGAGTGAGCTTAGCACGGTTCCACCTACAACACATCATCAGTGATGAGAAAAGAAACATCTCAGCTGCTCATAGTAGAGTAGTAGATGGTAATGTAGGTAACAGGAAATATAAGCATCTGACATGCAACTAACTTATAAGTATTTTAGTACTATAATAATAGCAAGTACAGTATTTTTGCATCAAACTTGAAATTTTATGGCAATATTAAAAACTCAACCCTTTAACTGAATTAACCGCACAAACATTCGTTTTTATAGCATCATATCAAGCTGCAATGAACATTTATACAGACACTAATGAACAATGATGTCCAACTTTATGGCAATCTTTCATTGTAGGGCACCCCAAAGAAAAAAAAAAATGAAAAAAATGATAAAGCGTGTGAACGCACCTCTTCTTCTTGACCTCTTTCTTGGGCTTGTTCTCATGAACCGGGTTGTCACGGATGGAAATATGAGCCTTTTTGTACATCTCTAGAACCTGCAGGAACCGGATAACACCATGAGACGGGTGAAGGCAAAGCAAGGATTGACAATAAATGCTGAAAATGTTTTCAAATACTGCACTGTACACAACAAACAAGAATCACACTTCAAGAAATTAAAGAATGAGATTTAGCCACCAGTGTCATGTCACAAATAGTATTCATCTACTGATGATACAGTCTCTGATAAACATATTAGACTCTTTCCCATATTCCATCTTAAAAAGCGTATCAATCTGTGCCCAGACTCTTAATAGAGTTCTGTGACAATGCGTAACCCTCAAAACTTATTCACTTTATAGCCCTTAATCCTGTAATTGTGGACAAATGTGGGCACAGAGGACTCAGTGATCCTGTGATCCTAATTTTTATTTATTATAAATGTTATATCACTGTCTTCGATAAAGTTTTGTCTATTCATTTATGGTTTTTATTTTTATTTTGGGGGTATTTTTGAATTTATTTACTTTAAAAAGTAGCATATTTTCTATGTAAATTATGCTTATTTTTTAATTTTTTTAACTACATTAAAATATCATTCCAATAAGTTCTTAGAGCTAAAACTTAAAGATGAAGTGACTTTGCTGTAACCTGCTGTCTTATTTTAGAATGATCTAAATTACAGTTTTTCCCATTCATTTCTATGGGTGCCCATTTTTGACCCAAATACAAGATTAAGGAGGGTTTTTTCACCCACTTAACATTGTAGAATTGAGTCAAAAAAAAAAATTCTGTGTTCAGGAGGCAAACTTAGGAAAAGTAGCCAAGTCTTGTACCGCTCAGATCAAGGACAGAATTTTTTAAAAATAAATCAAATTTTTTTCCCACATTTGTCCAGAATACGGTTTTAGGGTTAAAGAGATATTCAACCAAAAATTAAAACTGGCCTTACGCATTGATTTATGGCAAGAGAAACCCTTGAACTTAGACGCACAACATAATGAAAAACGCGGTTGCCCAGTCCTGTTTGAACCACGTGAGGAGTTAAAGCTTACGCTACTCCTACATCATACATCGTCAAGTGTTACTCTTCTGCCGTAAGTGGACTTGTGTACGGCCGTCTGCTGGAAACTAGTTATTTTAGTCGATAAAATTTTAAATATGGATATTATTTATTACACAAACGCATCACTTCACTTCAGAAGACCTTTATTAACCCCCCAGAGAGGTTTCGAGCACTTTTATCAGGGATGGATGCTCTTTGACGGACTTCCAAAAAAATATACCTATTGACTCGCATTATAAAGCTTGGAAGAGCCAGGACAATTTTTTAAATATAACACAGATTAAATGTTAAAAGAAGAATGTTTATATACACCTAGAATGGTTTCAGGGTGAGTAAATCATGGGGTAATTTTCATTTTTGGGTGAACTATCTCTTTCTTTAAATGTAATGACTCCAAATGTGTGATCCATTCAAATCCAAGGGCAAAAAAAAGTTTGCAGTAAAGTGATCCAGCAAAAAAGGTTCCTTACAGTTTCAGGTGTGATGCCGTTCTTGATGAAGCGGGAGAACTGCTTCTTGTACAGGTCCTCGTCCTCCTCCATCAGATAGCTCATGTACTCTGACACGTTCTGGCCCATGATGTGCTTCCTGTGAACCTCCGCATTAAACTCTTTACTTTCAGTGTCGAAGCCCGGGAACCGTTTAGTGCTGAGAAAGAAAGTTACAATGTCAATATACACATCAATAACATTGGATGGAACTTGTGACAATATGTGTGGCATCACTTAAGGTAGACAATGCAAAAGTAATATCAAATAGTTTTATTCATGCGCTCAACATATATGTCCGTGATTGGCTACAATGATCAAAGTTTCAAAAACATGTAAATGGACATCTTTGACGCTCTTCACCGAGCGCAAAGATACACAACAGGAGCATTTAAAAGGGGGGGCGTCTATCAGCGGATATATTAAGGATCCACTGATAGACGCCTGCTTTCAAACGCTCCTGTTGTGTCCAGATCCGCTGATAGACACGTGCGTATCTGCTCACTAGGTGAAGCATTTGCATTTGTTATGAAAAATGGTAGCCTAAAGGCATTTAGTATAATACAAATGCACAGCAACTGCTTAATAAAATAATACTGCAAATTAATAGGGATATCCCAATTAAGTTTTTTGTGCCACCGATCCGAGTCATTGAATTTTGAGTATCTGCCGATACTGAGTCCCGATCTAATACTTGCACACTTCAAGTACATTAAAGTTCAAATCAAATCAATCCAATGTATACAGGGATGCGCAGAGTGTTTCTCATGGACTCAAATGTAAAAAAGGGGCATCTTTCACTAGACTAGAGTAATTCCAAATATATGGGACTACTGATATAAACTTTGTATTCAAAACGGATATTTAAAACAGATAATTGCTATAAAACAGAACTATATATAAATTCACACACATCTAAAGTGCAGTGTTACGGAAGAACCATTTCCTTTTCACATCCAATAACAAACAAACAAAAATTGATATATTTAGCATTTAAATTGAATAGCATTTTATTTAAAATAAACTTAGCCTTGCAGTATATAGATATTTCTCTCACACACACAGGCCTCTTGCAATCACTTGTACATCAATGGCAAGTTCTATTTCTCAAACTATTTCTCTCTTCTGACACATGTCCTGCCAGGCTAAACAGGACAAGTGGAGCATGTGCAGGGAAACGATTAGGAAATAATAAAAAACAAGTTTAAATGGGTATATTTTCTCCGGCTCGCGGTGTGAATGCACTTATTGATTAACATGCTCACGCGCTACCCCAGGTCCCGGTGTGAATGCACTAACTGATTAACATGCACACCGAACAAAAAAATTCGCTGCTCCCGCTTGCGGTGTGAAACAGCCTTTATAGGAGATTTTCACGCTTCTGGGTTTCATGGGCAGGATTTGTTAACTTTGTGCATGTCCACTTCCGACGCAGTTTAACAATGGCTGAGACGAAGGCTATATATGTCACTGCTCTGTTCCACTTTGTAAATCTAACCAACAACGCCAACCCTACTTAAGTTTTCATGGATTCCCGACTGAATTGAGTATAAGATTAAAACAAGGCAGCACATTTGTTTGCAGCCGGCACTTTAGTGAATCAGACTAATTTACCAGGGATGCCGTATAAATAAACTTAGTGTAGTGCGTCATCAGTTTGCCAGCGAGATCGGTGATTCAACGGAAGTGGCAGTGCACAAAGATCACTGAATACGGAAGTCCTACGTATCAGCGTGATAATCCCCTATTCAGAAGGTTTACTACATGTGCATACTGATGTGTGTTCCGTGTGCAGTCTGTGCACGGGTGATATCGATGCGTGACGTTAATCGTGTGGCGCCCGAGTGCATTTGACCGGCATAAAATCGGAATATGTCAGACTGACCGGCCGGTTGCCGATTATGGCCGATCACGTGAAAATCGGCAGATTCCGATCACCAGCCGATCAAACGGTGCATCTCTACTCATTATTAAGCTGCGATCACTAGTTAATAGTGTAGAGATGAATTAAGTGCATCTCACACAGGAATCACTTTAAAACCACGCAGCTTTCTGCAGGTCAACACTGCGTCAAAACCGTGGACCAAACCTCAAGTGTTTATTACTGACTTCTAGGGCTGGGTATTGAGACAAATTTCACAATTCGATTTGATTTCGATTCACAAGCTTGCAATTCGATTCGATTGCGATTCAATTCGATACAATATCGATTATTTTGGATATCAGTTACAATAAATGGCCATTTTTTTCAAGGGAATCAAATCTCTTAAATGCTGTAAACTGTGGGAGTCTAGTTGTAGCCAATAGGCTTCCTTAGCCTAATATGAAGGTAATAATGAACTGTTTTGTAGCCATACAAACACTTAAATTACACTTTTATTTATTTTTATAATAAGAATATTATATGAAATAAACATTTAAATAGTGGCTGTCATAAAAACTTGCCTGGTATTATTAAGCCGGAAGATAGATCAGCGCTGCTGCTTCTATTGAGCTGCGCCAGAGTGATCTCACGCCACAGCGCCAAAACGCTATTTATGTTTTTTAATTTCGAAAGAAAATGGACGGAATTTGAAAATTGAGACTTTGTTTCATATCAATAGTGACAAAGATTATTGCGATTTTTTGTATTTTTTTTCAGCCGCGATACGATGTCCCATTCTTTCAATTGAAACAGGATGACTAATCGATTCTTGAGATTTAAGAATCGATATCGGTTCGTAAAAATGAGAATCGATTAATATCGAGAAATCGATATTTATTACCCAGCCCTAACTGACTTCAGGCAATCCATTCAGACAATAGCTTATTTTTTTGGAGAATATTCAATGTTTTCATAAAGACTATGAAAGCACCCATGCATCCAAAAGTGTCGAATCAATGTCCATTGTCTAAGTTTGCAAAAAGAAAAAACAGCATGCACTGACCTGTGAGGGATAGACAGTCCTCCATCCACTGCTCCTTTGAGAGCTCCAAACACCTTATTCCCTGTGGTGGTTCTGGCGAGGCCAGCATCCAGGTAGCATGTAAACGCCCCTGGCTGACCATCAATGCTTTCCACATTAAACTCATCGCCAGTCACCTCAACCTGGCCTTCGTAGACCTTATCCAGACCAAACTTATTCAGCAGCTGTAAGCAGAAAACAAATCTGAGTCAGACCATACTACGAGATTTGAACAATACTAGACATTCATGAATACGAAGGACATTTACCCTGCGTGCACACAGCAAACCGGTGCAGTAGGCGGCAGCGTAGTTTGTCAGTCCAACAGTAATGCCATACTTTGGCAACTCGTGAGAGTAAGCAGCGCAGACGATCGCGTCGCCTTCAATTTTGGCGTATGCGATCTGACAGAGAGAAAGACATAAGACGCTCAGTAAACCAACGGTAATTAGCAAGATTTCAAAAACTATGGCAATTTAAGATGACTTGGTAGTAGTTCATACCTGGCAAACAATATCCCTGTTGGAGAGTCGAACGATCATCCTGTACTTCGGTGTGTTGTACTTGTTCTTGTCTTGGATGACAAGGCGTTTGCGGGCAAAGTAGTCAGTTTTTCCCTCTGAAAGGGCAAGTATGTTTGACATTCATACAGAACACGTTTATTTATTTCACTTTTCCATTGATTTTTTATGTAAACACGCTAGACGGACGTGTTTGACGGTTGCACTCACGTCTCGTATCTTATGGCGCGTTCGCGTGCTAGGGAAAATATATTTTCCATGTGTGAACTGGTATTTACCAGTGTGTTGCGTTCAAGTGCTTTTGTTGTCGTAATGTGGTAGAAAGATGGAGATCTAGACCTGTTATTTAGCTAAATCTATTTTAGATTGCTTAAGTCATCTGCTACAGCAAGAAAATGATTTATCAAAACTCACAGTAAATAAAATGCGGTATATTTTCTAGATCATGAATAGTACATGTTTACACCATTCACGACTCTCGCGGTGATCTCCGCCATTTTGAAAAGGTCAAAGGTCATCTCATCTCGGAAACTTGTGCATCAAAACATTCTATGAGCTGCCCAGTGGAAAATACCACATGAGGGGGTGTCCATGTGCATTTTCCACATTGGCTTTTGGCATTTACCATAGCACGTGAACGCACCATTATTTCTCAAGCAAGACACTGACTGCATTCAAGTTAAATCTTGACACCTTGAGTTTTAACTGCGTGCTTCTCACTTTAAAAACACGTTCTGGGTGAACCGGCCCTTAAGAGTTTGAGTGGCCAAACAAAGTCCTTGATTTCAAACTATAATGCTCTGTATAGAGTGCCGAAGTTACAACGTCACTCTGTAGGCCAAAACGCGGAAGTGAGTTAGCATTTTAGCACTTCTGGTTCCCTCGCTCTAAAGTCTATGGGATTTTTGAATGGGTTTTTGCTAAATCGCTTGAAATAAGGTCTGTGGTGAACAAAGCCTCTAAATATTTTCCCGTTTTGATCTATGACATAAAACACACAGTTTTTTAACTTTATTGTGTCTGCTTGTGTTTTTAAAAAACTTTATATAGGCTTCAAAATGTATAAATTTTAAACTAACTTGTAAAGATTACCTTGATACACAAAACGTGTAAGGGTCACAACTCTTAGCGATTTTCCAAAAGTCTATGGGGAAAATGCATAGCTTTTCGATCGAGGGAACGCATGCACCGTCCTACAAAGTGACGTCATTACTTCGGCACTCTATTTAGTAGGCCACTATGTTGTATTCATGTCATATTCATTGTGTGCAGTATGTAAAATTAGTTATGTCTGGTTTTTATTTGAAAAAATATTCCTAGCGCACACGGACTTGCCAGATTACAGAGTGCACTGGTGTTTACAGTGATTTACAGTTTAGTTACTTGCTTTTTAGTTTATATCATTTTCAAATTATTTTTCAAATTTTGTAAATATTATGTAAAATAAATATTTAATTTAAGCTGTTATTATGCATGTTAGTTTCAGCCACTTGAGGCATTCTTGTTGACCATGTAAACCAGCTGAAAGACCAGCATGGATTGTTTTCTGATGTTTTTCCAGAAGGAACACATTCAGGCCCGTTGACTGTATAATAACTTGAAATATTATTCCCCAAAGGTAAGGAAACAGGTTGACATACCTCGCCTCCTCCTGAACTTGACCTGGTATCTCTTGAAATACGCCTTATTCTTAACCACCTTAACGAAGCCCTGGAACAGACAGTTTTATTTGTAAGATAAACTGAGAAGCAGGAAAGTAGAGATTTGAAAAGCAATAATCCTAATGACGCTGTTGGCTGCCTCTGGTTATGATCAGATGATGCAGTGCGCGAAGTGACAGTAAACATGACAACGTAAAACCGAAAAAAAGAACAGACTTTTAACATGGGCAAACACACTCACTGCAAACAAAATGCTTATTTTTTTGAGTTTAGTGTCAATAAAATAATTTTTGTAGTGTTTCGAGGGAAATGTGCCACTGACGTTCACGCAGCGACTGGAATGACCGATTGAATCTAATGCCATCCCGTCGCTTCATGAGTTCATCTTTCATGGAAATCGAGCTGAAATAACTGTTGAGGGCATGTAACGAGTAGAACATTGTATTTTGGTGATTTACTGACCATTTTGTAATCGTTTGTTCTCCTTTAGGTTGGGAGACTGAAGTCTTCAGACTCCGATACTGCTCCCGCTGCACTGAGAAAAGGAAGTTCATGGTGCGGTGCAACCGGATAAACAAAACACGCGCAGGCAGAAGTGTGTGCGCTCCTAGCGTCGTGGAGGAAACACGGCAGGCTAGTCAGGCCTGTTCACATACCAAAAATTACTATAATAATATTATACTAATATAAAGATAATACTAATAATACTATAAATATAACCATAAAGATAACCATGTATTAGATTAGTGTTTTTCTTTCGCTTTAAATGCTCGCGCTCGTTACAGCAAGTTGGATTCTGATTGGTGGTCAATGTTTTTTAATCAGCTGGATAAAATCCTTCTGAAAGTGATTTAAACGATTTCGTTATCGTCCTAGCTGTTGTGTGAACTCTGCTATTCTTTAATATTGGGAATGATTTTTTTTAACTATGTCTATATCGTTATCTTTATATAGTTATCGTCCTCTGTGTGAACGGGCATTTAATCATAAAAAAATATTAAAATAGTGAACGAAGCACTCAATTAATTATTTTTTGTAATATTTAAATATTAAATTTATTTATTTTAAATTATTAAATTTAAATTTATATATAAAAATTTTTAACAATTAATTTGTTTTCATTCCTATTGGTCAGATGCAAAATCCTAAATTAATTGAACAAATTAACAAAGCATTCCCAATGGGATCAAATGAGAATCCTCTTAAAAAATCAAATACGTTTCTTAGCCTATAGGCTAGGCTACATTTAAAAAATGAATCAGGTTCTGATGGGTGATCAAAAATGATTTGCCATTTGAATGAGTTTAAGTGATATAGATGGACTTCCCTTGTGAAAAAGAAGTGTTCATTGTGTGGTTTAATGTGCACTTAGGCCTATACTTCAAATCTTAAAAGTAACACATAATATTAATATAAATAAAAGTGAAGCCTACTTGGAGTCCACTTTCATGACTGTTTCTTAACACTTATAAAAGTCCCTTTAATGTCAAATTAAAAGTTTTATTTTAAAGTGCATTTTATGTAGTTACGTTTGTTGTGCTTACTAACAAGCACATGTAAATTACGTGATTGTAATTTTAACTGTTGTGTGCTATTTGATATTACATTTAAAGTTGATATTACATTATTGCATAAAGTATATATTACATTTAAAGTTGATATATTTTAAATGCACTGAACTGCAAATGTGTAAGTTTCAATAGAAATGACATTATTTTAGTTTGCCATAAATGCTTGTCAGTACATTCGGCAGTGCAACTTAAGTCCGACTTAAGTAAACTACAATACATTTTAATCTAATTGCAATTAAAATGCAATTAATTGTCAAACCATTAATTCAGTTTGCAGTTATATATTCTTCTAAAGTTATATCATTTCCGCAAGTACACTTTTTTTCACAAGGGTTTGGACAGGAAAATGTACAGGAAATCATGGTGCAAGCATACTTATTCTAGCAATTCGAGTTGCAATTAACAATATCAACAATCGACAATATCACAGTAAATAAAAATACTTCTGAGGCACTAAATACATATAGAGTCTATATGTTTAGACTATACAAATATGTATAGACAAATAGACAATGACTCTTGAAAACATGCGTTAGTTAATACTTGTTGGCATTGGCATTATCACAGTAAATGTCACAGTTCATATTGTGTGGTGTAAAAATGCTTTAGGGTTGCAAACAAACCAATGTCACTTTATCAACTTCCTTAAAATAGGGTGGGCCTAAAAACATAGATGTGTATCAACTTAGTGCCTGTTGACACACAGCCTTGGTCAGCCAAAAACCTTCCTTTTTGTTTCAGTAAATGATTTATGCAAATGCTGCATAAGGGAGCTTATCTGTCAAAGTTTCACAGAACTATACAAGATTAACCATGCAGTTGCTTCTCTCGACAGTCTAACCGGTTGAAGTCCCACAGGTGAATGTTATGGGCCCCATATTTGTCTGTAAGAGGAATAAGTTGTAAGAGGAAGTTGTTCTCTCAGTCGGGTCACTTTAAAAACAGCAGAACTGTTATTTTGAGGAACTTTGATCAGCCTGTGAGGCTCTGCTATAAAGCAGCATGTGATCCTTTTGCTGTGTGGATTTTCCCCCTGTGCGGTATGGAAGAAACAGGTGTGACGGACAGTGTCACTGGATTAAGTTTGACAGAAACCAGAGGAAAGATTTTTGGGAGACATTTGCACCCCAAATTACAGGAATCTCACACACACTGGTAAGAAATCCCAGTTTTCAATTACTATGTCAGTGATTCTGATATACAGTAAATGCCATGAAATATGATATGCAATATGTGAAACACTTAAATGATTAGATTCCACATACTTCCATAAGCAAATTTGTATTTTCTGTTTTTGACATTTTGCTAATTTTTTTTTTTTTTTTTTTAGGTTTCAAGAGGTCCTGCTTCACTCTGAGTGTTAGAGATGGACTCTTTGAGCGCACCATCTCCGTGTCCCTCAGCAGGGGCTCAGCTCAGTGCAGATGAGATGAAGTTACTTGCTAAACTTGAGGAACAGAACAGGTCATTTCTTCACACCCTGCCCTGTTTCCTAGAAGCAACAACCTAAAATAAAAAGTTACACATTACATTAGTGACACGTCTCTGTTTCCACACTGTCACCAGATTGTGCTTTATATAGGGTTAAGTTTAAAGAACATCATTTATTTGGGTATTTATTTGTTTATTTTTATCTTTTTGTTTAATTTATTTAATTGAACTTTCAAATGGTCTTCGTTTCCTGTTTACACTTCTAGGCTTCGGGGTCATGACCCCAACAATTGATTGAGTAATTGTACAAAAAATATACATTTTTAATCATACAAATAATATATCATTTTTTTGTTTACTTCTCATCTACTCATTAATGCTGTGTTTTTGGAGATATAAAGTGTTTTTGTATCCATATACCACACAATTCCTCAACTACACCATTAGCTTTAGCATTAGCATATTAAATATTATTTTTTTATGATACATTGCATTTATCCTCTAGCACTAGGCCTTCATTTCTGTGTAAAAAAAATTCAGATTTATGCCAGATTTATTTTATTTTTTGACTCATGAAGAAAATATATTTAGTTTTTTTTTTTTTTTTCACATTTCCCATTCATTTCAATGTGGGGTCATATTGACCCCAAAGACCAGAAGTGTAAACATTCTTTTTTACATACCTTCAGAACAACCAAATCAAGCCCAGTTTTGTGTGTGTGTGTGTGTGTGTGTGTATAGATAGATAATGTATGAAAAGTCACAAAATCTTATTCCACTGAGATAAAGGGAACCTTGTTTTTATTAAGTAAAAGTCGATTGGGGTCGTATAGACCCCATGACCCGATTGAGGACTACTTAGCATTCAGCCTCAAACAAACATCATTAGAAGTATAACAAAGATTATATATTATAATATATTAATGTCATAGTACATCTTAAAACAGTACTTATCACAAGTTTATTTATTTCATTTTTTAATTAATATTATTTTATTTAATATTTAAGTTTTTACGCCATTTTACCTCTTAAAGCTACACTATGTAACTCTTTTAGTTTATTCTTAGCTAAAAACACTTAGTTCTTTCAAAAATATATGTGCTCAATAATGTAGATTTACTTTGTTCAAGTAATAAAGTATTCTTGTGAGTGTATAATATGCCATTGAAAATACATACGGGTAAGGGGTTCTAATGTCGGTCGCCATGTTGCCCCTCCATCTTGAAAGTACATTAGCCAAAGAGGGACATACCCGTTAATTCAAGCTTCGGCTTTCGCATTTACGTTTGAGTTAACACTAGGGTTGGGTATCGTTTGAATTTGAACGATTCTGATTCCGATTCCGATTCCTTGTTTCGATTCCGGTTCCTAACGATTCTCGATTCCGATTCTTTTAAGAAGCAGGGTAAAAAAAGTTTAGCTAACCTTGCTAACCAACGGTCTTTCTAAAGGAAATACTCCTTTTGTCACAAATTTAGCATTTTGCCGAGATTTCGTTATTTTTAGAAAAGTGAAGCCACACTTTGGACCGCCGACGTAAGCTACTTATGTTCGACTCGCGCGGTTATGCCAACACTTCCGGTAGAAGCTTCTTCGTTTCTTCTTCCGCTCGGCGGACTGTGAATATCGAAACTAGGAATCGAAATTTTAACTTTTGAACGATTCCGGGAAAAATGAAAAGTTAGTCCCGGTTCCAATCGATACTCGATTCTCGATACCCAACCCTAGTTAACACTCATGGACGAGGTCGAACTGGAAGCCATGTTAATCTTGGACTACATTGCCCACCGTAGGCGTTAAAACGAAATCGGAATTGAGAGGAACAGAAACTAATATTCACTGGATGGTCATATACCTTTTCACCACTAGATGGGGGTAAAAATCACACAGTGTAGCTTTAAATTCTCCTTTTGTATTATTGTAAAGAATGAAGTCTACTTATTAATCACTCAGTTATATTTGACATCATCTCCTCAACAGGCTGCTAGAGACAGACAGTAAGTCTCTTTACTCTGTAAGCGGGGTCCTGCAAAGTCCCACCTCACCTAAAACCATCTCATGTGACGATGACATATGGGGTCATGTCATTCAAGAATGGGACGACTGGAGCAAGAGAAAAGTGGGACAGATCAAGGTAACCGGCCGATCGATCGGTCATGACTTCAATGTGGGTGTACAATCATCAGTGAGCAGTATCTCATTTGTGTGTCCCCTTCAGGTGCTGATCAGGAGGGGTGTCCCGTCTCACCTGCGGCCCGTGGTGTGGCAGCTGCTGTGTGACGCTCAGAACGTGGCCGTTTCACAGCACTACTCAGATCTGCTGAAGAGCTCCTGTCCCGCTGAGACGCTGATCCACAGAGACCTGTCTCGCATCCTCCCACAACACCAGCTCTTTCAGGAGCTCCGGGACGCCACCTGCCAGGAGCCTCTGCTTAACGTGCTGAAGGTTAGATGACCAAGAATATGATTATACTTATGCATTTGAGGAGTATAGATAACACAATGTGGCTTTTATTACAGGCTTACTCAGTCTTAGACCGAGAGATTGGCTACTGCCAGGGAAGTGTGTTTATTGTAGGCCTGCTGCTCACACAGGTAATTGATTTTAACCTTCAAATGGTCTTCGTTTCCTGTTTACACTTCTGGGCTTCGGGGCGACCCCAACAATTGATTGAGTAATTGTACAAAAATTATACATTTTTAATCATACAAATAATATATCATTTTTTTTGTTTACTTCTCATCTATTCATTAATGCTGTGTTTTTGGAGATATAAAGTACTTTTGTATCCATATACCACACAATTCCTCAACATTCGCTTGCATATGAAATATTATTTTTTATGATAAATTGCATTTGTGCTCTAGTACTTTCTGTGTAAAAAAGAAAATGTCAGATTTATGCTGAAATTATAATTTTTTTTTTTGACACATGAAGAAAATATATTTAGGGTTTTTTTTACATTTCCCATTCATTTCAATGTGGGGTCATATTGACCCCGAAGACTAGAAGTGTAAACATTTTTTTTTTTTTTACATACCTTCAGAACAACCGAATCAAGCCCAGTTTGATAGATAATGTATGAAAAGTGACAAAATCGTATTCAACTGAGATTAAGGGAACCTTTTTTTTTTATTAAGTAAAAGTCGATTGGGGTCGTACGGACCCCATGAGCCGATTGAGGGCTACAATCCAAATTATAGTAGTTAGTACAAGTTTATGACCTGAGTTAATGATCTTTCAGATGGCTGAGGAGGAGGCCTTCTGTGTTTTTGTGAGGCTGATGAAGGACTTCAGAATGAGAGAGCTCTATAGATCCAGTATGGTTGAGCTTGGCTGCTGCATTTACCAGTTTGACTCGATGATTCAGGTAAACAAGTGTAATTCTGCTCCATTAAAAGCCATTTATAATGCCCCTTGAGCTTAGTAAGCTACATAAAGCCTGTTACAATTGATCTGCTGAAGTATTTTTCCAATTTCTGAGAATTGCACATATGACAAGAACTTCTGAGTCGTAGATGTCCAGATTTTGTGTCATAGGGGATAGTGGGGTAAGCTGTGTCACGGGTCTTTTTTATTTTTATACTAATGCTGTCCTCTAAGCAATGAGAAGTTAGTTAAATCTTGGATTTCAAATTATATTTTGTATATAAAAATATCAAATAATATGACAATGAATTAATACAAACAAATGCATAAATAAATAAATTCACATTATTTTACACATCGGTAATTTACCAAGATATATATGAAGAGTTCAGATGCAAAAGCCTCTAAGTGCCATTTGAAATTTTCTCCAAGAATGATGATTTTTATCAAACTTGTATATTTAAGTTCAGTAATTTCACTTAAATGACAATTAATAGGTAATCGTCATTCCCATTTAAGTCAAATTAATGAACTTAAATATACAAGCTTGATAAAAATGATCATTCTAGAAGAAAATTTCAAATGGCATTTAGAGGCTTTTGCATCTGAACTCTTCATATGAATGATTAAAAGTTTGGGGTTAGCCTATTAAGTTTTTTTTAAATGTTTTTGAATGAAGTCTCTAATGCTCACCATGGATGTAATTATTTCATAAAACATACAGTAATCAGCTATAGTGTGAAATATTATTACAATAACTGTTTCCTATTTGAATATAGAAACAATGTTTACCAGAATCTCTACTTCTGTAACCATGTTTAAAACTCAGCTTAAGACATATTGGTTTGATGAGGCCTTTGCTACTTTGTAAGGTCCGTATCCGTATATTTTTTAATGTATATTTACTTCGTTCAAGTAATAAAGTATTCTTGTGAGTTTATAATATGCCATTGAAAATACATACGGGTAAGGGGATCAAATGCCGGTCGCCATGTTGCCCCTCCATCTTGAAAGTACATTAGCCAAAGAGGGACATACCCGTTAATTCAAGCTTCGCCTTTCGCGTTTAGGTTTGAGTTAACACTCATGGACGAGGTCGCACTGGAAGCCATGTTAATCTTGGACTACATTGGCCACCGTAGGAGTTAAAACGAAATCGGAATTGAGAGGAACAGAAACTAATATTCACTGGATGGTTATATACCCTTTCACCGCTAGATGGGGGTAAAAATCACACAGTGTAGCTTTACTGACCACAAACATTTGAATTGTTGTGTATATGCTGAACATCCTTGGACATAAGACTAATTTGACCTGCCATGGAGAAAAATTTACTTTACAAAATGGAAATAACAGGATTTTTTGCATAAAAGTGCTTACCAACGCATGGACACATAACCAAAAACGGCAGACAGTTTTCAGAAAAAGGGTGTGACACATCTTACCCCACTCTCCCTTACAGTTCGTGGTCATCTGTTGTCTGAAGATATCTTTCTCTCTCTGATAGGAGCAGCTTCCTGACCTTCATTCCCACTTCCAGACTCAGGGTTTTCACACCTCCATGTTCTCCTCATCCTGGTTTCTCAACATCCTCCTCTCATCTCTGCCTATCACAGCGGCCATGAGGACTTTTGATATCTTCATGTGTGAGGTACATTCAGTCACGTCAAAACATCACCATAACCCATCACTTCACACTGAATGTCATATTTCATATCTATAGGAAATAGATAAGCTAAGATTTTTAGATGAGAGACAATTATATTTATATACTATTAAAGTATTTGTTAATATTCTGATTTAGCTTTAATTTGTCATTTTATTGTTTTTAGTTTAAGTTTTGGTAATTGTGTTCTGTGGTTATCAGATTTATTAGTTTTATTTAACCGTCTTTAGTTTAATCGAATTTAGTACTTCAATTTAAACTTACATCAATATACATTGCCTTTTTGATCTCATTTTCATATTTATATTTTAATTGAACTATTTCAATGACCTAAAAAGATTTGTATTTTAGTTAACAACAACAACACCGCCACTAGCATCTAAACATGCAGTTAAATGGACGACATGAGTGATATACATACGCATGTGTCTGTAGGGTTTGGAGATCGTCTTCCGGGTTGGTTTGGCTGTGCTTCACATGAAGCAGGCAGAACTCATCAAGCTCGATATAGAGGGAATGATGAACGTAATGGAGCACTCCAAAGAAACACTGCTCTGAAATACTGCCTCTTTGAATGTCTTGGTCTTCAGAGTACTTCTGTTGTTTTCAGTGCTTGCAGAATCTAGAATCATGGGGATCAGATCCTGATGGGATGATTGAAGCAGCATATCAAATTAAATACAATTCCAGCAGAATGAAAGAGTAAGCTCTTCCTTCCATTCTTGCCTAATTTTCCTTGTTCTTCTAGCCTGTTATCTGGTGTATTTCACTCATTTTAGACTGAGAAAAGAGTATACATCTAACAAGACTAAAGAGCTGAAGGATCAGGAGGAACTAAATGTGAGTGTTTGTTTGTTTCCCTTCACATAGGCAAAAATCAGGTTGATTTGGACACTTCAAGTCATCTCAACGGCAAAAGTGTCCCAATCACCCTGAATTCACCCTAGTATTTCTCAGCAGTAAACAATCTGTCTTTAGGCTATGAATCGCCATTTTCAGCCACTGTTTTGCAAGTGCTCAGTTTTTCTCTTGGCTTTTCTTAAGGGACTTTCCTCAGAGAACAAACGTTTAAAGCAAAGACTTGACATTCTGGAGAAGGTGAGTATATTGCTGTGCCTTTATGTTAAAGTTATGTTAAAGGAGTGATCAAATTTTCCTCGAGCTTTTGACCACTAAGCGGTCATCATATTATAAGAATATCCTGTAAGTTTCAGAACTGAAAACGTCCTTGTTAGTCCAACAAAAGCTTTTATTAACACCAGGCTCAGCAAACGACTCGTTTTTCAAAGTGGGGAACTATGACGTCAAAGAGGATAAAACACCACCCCCGCAGAAGAAGATCAATGCCTACTTCAACATGGCCGGTTTAGCCCCGCCCACCGATTCGCGCATTACAGGCATAGCTAAATAACATAGATGCCTACCTTGTGATGACAAAACTCATTATAATATGCAAAACTGTTATCCACTCTGTTTACTTCCAAGTCTTCAATGCAAGACGCCCATAAAAACGAGCGTTTTTGAGCTAGGCTCAAAACTAGGGTAGACAATAGCCTATTACTTATTCATTTTGATGTTTTTTAATGTAAAAACCAAGCGAACGTCATAAGTTAACCTCAGACAACAAAAAAAAAAAAAAAAAAAAAAAAAAAAAAAACCCAGTTCATGACCCCTTTAATGTTCATGTTCTTACTGTGTTGCCCTTCCAGAGGTGCTCTGAGCAACTGGTGTCGCAGATGAAGAAAGAGCTGGAGAAATCTCTGCTAAATGCAGCCAGGTCACAAAACACTTTAAAGGAGATGCAGACGAACACCTTGCAGATAGAAGAGGTCAAAGTCAAGTCAAATCTTTCATGAAAACCCCTGTTTTCCATTCATTAACATGAAGCATTAAGCAAGGTTATAGAGTGCCAGGGAGATTGAATATTTTTGTAGGCCAACTCGAAAGTCACCTTGGTTCCCTCAACAAAAACCCAATTGGATTTTTCTATGGCAAAAAATAAGCTCTGTCAGTGTCATAAGCAAAAGTTTGATTCCTGAACATTTGTCCATTGTGATAATCTTCACAAATGAATTTTGAAGCCTAAATACTATCGCCAGACGTAAAAAGCTTCCAACAAATCTTTCAGTCTATATATATATATATATATCCCTGAAAGTTGGAGTTAGTGAAACTAACGCTAACACTAAACGTTCACAGTGAGAATAGTTTGCAAGAGCAAATAAAGCTGTGAAAGCAGGCTATAAGTGAATCTGTTTGGGATGATGATGTTTAATGTCCCATTTACATTTATTCATTTAGCTGACGCTTTTATCCAAAGCGAATTACAATTGATACATATGTCAGAGGTCGCACGCCTGTGGAGCAACTAGCGCCATACAAGCTCTGTCACATTTAGCTACTTGTTAGAAACCGACTTTTTACGGACAAATTAAAAGCTTAACAAATCACAAGGGGGTATTACTGATGACTGATGTATTTTATGTCCCGGAATAAAACAGGAAAACTTTATCTCAGCCATTAAACCAAAACCCAATTAAAAAAAACTCTCTGACTTCAGGACGATTAAACCAGAAGTGCTAAAATGTTTGTTTCTGGGTTTTGGCCTACAAAAATGCATCATCCCTGCAGCACTCTATTATGTATAGCGAGCAAAAAAACGTAGATGTCAGTATTTGCTGATGTTTTGACAAACGTGGGTTTGCTTTAGTAATCGTGTGTGTGTGTGTGTGTGTGTGTGTGTGTGTTGTAGAGCAGCAGCACTTTGCCTGATGAGAACAGTGTGATGTATCTGCAGACGGAGCTGATCAGCTGTAGACTCCGGGAAGCAGATGCACTTGCAGGGCTCAAAGAGCTGAAACAGCACATTAAAGACATGGTAAAGAAATGGCAGGTAACTTTGGATGGGATGAAAATTCAGTGTTAAATATAGGCTACCATAAGTTAGGTTCATCACAATGTGTCTCTCTCAGTGGCAGCAGGTGCATTGTGGAGGTCAGCAGAAGGTCAGCAGTGCACAGAATGACCTGCAGGTGGAGCTGTTGAGCACAAGACTGAAGGATGCGCTCACCCAGGCCACGCTTAAAGAGAGCCGCCACAAACTGCTGCAGCTGCAGACAGAGGTTAAAACCCTCAGCTGATCGTATCTGGTGGTTTACAGTTTGATGCACTGCGATATGAGGAACAATAGAGCAAGCAAAGCTTAGTTTACGTCGCTTACTCCTGGAACTGGTGTCAAGTCAAATATGACACTACAATAGCCTACACTTTGATATAAAGTCGGCAAAAATCAGAAGTTGTGTTTTGAACCCCTCTTTTGACGTATATTTGAGTGAAATGGCTTCTCAGACAAGAAAAAATTTAGGACGGGACTTGATTTTGCGTCAAGTCAAGTCATAGCGCTATAGTTATACTTCTTTCCTCTCCATTTCAAGCGTAAATGTATAAGTTATTATTATTGTGTGTCTTTTCTGTTGTCACACTGTTTTGCTTGAAATAAATAAATTATAAAAAAAAAAAAAATAAGACTTTGGTCTGGACACAGCTGCAGTTAAACATCTGCTGCGTCCCAATTCGCTTACTTATACTACGCCCTAAAAGTATGTACTCTTTTTGTGAGGAAAAAGTGCATACTTTTGAGTGTGTAGCAAAAGAGTAGGCAAGCTTTGGGACATACTATCACGTCATCTTTAACGGACAGCTCTGTTTACTATTGCTGCGTCCCAATTCGCGTACTTATACTACGCCCTAAAAGTATGTACTCTTTTTGTGAGGAAAAAGTACATACTTTTGAGAGTGTAGCAAAAGAGTAGGCAAGCTTTGGGACATCTTTAACGGACAGCTCTCTCGCGTGCTGCGTGCATCCTGTCACCGTACTGCCCTGTCAATCATCTTGTCACAGTTAAAATCCTCCATTCTATCTAATTTTCTTTCCTACCGTTTCGGAGAGCACGTTCATCTGCCAGTTGTGGGTCTTTCATGCTCTCCTCATGTGTTTGCAATTTGAATATAATGATGCATTTAAAACGTAATGGCTAAACGTGTCTTTACAAAAGTTCACAATGCTGCTGCAAATGCAATATAATGTGGGCAGCATTGAATAAATTCATTTTCGTCAGGTTAGATACTGATAATTAATCACTCAAAGCTCTTTATCTAAACCTCTCTACACAACCGCGGGGACTCGCGCGTCCTCCGTATCGACTACGTGTCTGTAGTTTTTAACACTTTTTTTACTCGTGTTTGTAGTTCTAACCGAATCCTCGTCCAACGCGCAATGGGTTGTGGGCAATATCAGCCGTTAGAGTGTGCATCGATCTACACTTCGGATTCTGACCGGAAAAAGTAGACCATCCGGCCCGGGTATCTTTGAAACACTCATTTCAACATACTACGATTTGGGACATACTAAATAGGCTATATGCAGCTGCACTACTTCCTGAACTTCAGCCAGCTCCTTGTTTCCTGCCTGCCATTATTGGCCAAACTTGATTAATTCAGGTGTGTCTGATTATTGTTGCCTTGACTTCTGAGGACAAGCACACCTGAATTAATCAATTTGGCCAATAATGGCAGACAGGAAACAAGGAGCTGGCTGAAGCATTTTCGAATACTATTTAGGACGGATAGTATGCGAATTGGGACGCAGGGATTGTAACCTGACACTGGTGTCACATGATAAATGGTGGATGCTAGCTATAGAACATACTTATTTAACATTCTTTATTTCAGTTCAGTGCATCGATCACCCGGGTATAAAAATGCACTTTTTCAATTCAGAATTTTCAGTGTGAATATAGGCTATGTCTAGGGTTGGGTATGGGTTGGGTTTTATCCGATACCAGTAGCCTATACTCGGTATTTTTTAAACGGTTCCGGTGCCTAAACGGTTCTTGATACTTAAGAAAACGAAACCGCACACACTTTGTCAAAAAAAATAATAATAGCCTACCCCTTTATTTACAGGGCCAAACTGGACACAATATTAAATTACAATATGTCACACTTGCCTAGGCTACTACAAAACAGCATAAGTCATGTCTACTACGCGAATTGGGACGCCTCTCTCACCTATTTACTGATCTATATTTTGAAAAAAGTCCTTCTTCAGGAGCTATAAATGTCATTAAAGTGTGAAAATTAAACTGCGCGAGCCGCTTTGACAAGCATTCGTGCGAGCACTGTGGATCACGAGCCGCTGACAGCGACGCAGATCAAGGCGACAGCGTAGTGTGAATCACGCAATCCGTCTCGCTTCAGTCGTGATGCGTGATAGAATGGATGACAGATCACAGTTTGTTCTTGTTGTCTTTATCTAGAAACAAAAAGAAGTTACCGCTATCAGTTTTTGAGATGTTCAAACTTCCTACAGTCAGGGTCCTAAACATATCACAATAACGGAAATACGTGAGCTACAGCGAGGAGGACAAGAGGACATCGCGCGCGCACACACAAACAAACAAACTAAATGTTGTCATGTTTTAAGGGGACTTTCCATATCATAATCATTTTTATACTGTAGCCTACAATTTCCGCAATTTTACATTTTCAAAAAACATCACAGTAGCCTATATTTAGCTATTAGCTGTTTTCCTCATTGGGTCCACAAGAATGTCAGTAGCCTACGACAGGTTCAAAATGTCACGTTGGAAATGAGGTAATTTAAACGTGAAAATTGAAGTTTACTTTTTTAAAAGTTAAAATAAATATGAAACAGTAAATCCAAAATATTTAAAACAATATTCTGTGTTAGGCGTAGGCTTAGGCTACCAAAACAATCAAGTTTGGGATTTATCATTTAGCCTATACTTTATAATGTTTGGGATACATGGACTGAATTATGTGTGAAATATGTCTATGAAATATTCTAGGTTTTTTTTTTTTAATAATCTTTTAAATTATGCATAAATGCCTTTGCGTTGAGGATAGGGGAATTAATTAATCCCAGTGATTAACTAACTAGGAAAAAAATGGCACTGTATGACAAAAAGGTTAATAAAGTTCATTAAAACTTATTTCTTTACCTCATAACCAATTATTATAAATTAAACTTTAACGTGGCATTATTTGAAAACGTGCCAACAACATTTTAGTTATGTTACTTGTGTGTTTGTTTATTTTATTCAAATGTATAGGCCTATATACAGTATTTTCCAATTACCAATTTGAGAATTTAATTTGTCATTGCCATGCGTCATGATGAAACATCCTGAGATTTCAAGATTATTCTTATCTCTGATTGGGAAACATTACAGTTTTTGAAATGTCTAGGGGAGCATGACACACGACTCCTAAATCAGATTGACAAACTGAAATCTCTTACACTGTTAGTACTACAAATCAATGCTAAACTATATCCTCACATTAAATGTGACTTGATTCAGTCCTCTAATTTGATTTGTTTTATTATATCACTACAGGACAAAATTCAGAGCGACCACCTAAAGCGTACAGAAGAGCATATAAACAGTCAGCGAGATCATCTACGGGAGTTGACGTCACAGAACCAAGATCTGCACAGCCAGTTACAACAGAGCAGACAACAGTTTTCAGCTCTTCAATTCAAGGTAACACCACACCTGACATCATCTGCTGTTTGACAGTCTGGAGGTGTCTAATTACAGTGTCATTTAGCCTCGCTGACTTCCTTCGGGCTAAATTAATCCTGGACCACGAGCATCATTAAACTTCATCCCAGCTCTGTGTTCAAGCACTATTCTGGGTTCAGTTAACCTCAGTTGACAGGATTGAGGGGCGGGGCATAATGCTGATTACCAAAAAAGTAATAATTTCCTATAAGTCCACACTTTTCTGGCTAACAGTAAGCCACTTACAAGGGACATGAATGGGGCCAATCATAAACATTAAAATACTCGATGTTACAAAAATGAAACCATTAAACATAAACGATATGTGTTAAAATGAACCCGGAATAGTAGAGGAAATCAGATCAGCAACCGTTCCATTTATTCATCACACATAGCTACGTGCAAGAGTGGCCTGTCTGTTGATCACCCAAACAGTCTGGAGGGAAATGGTATCTTCTGCTTTTCTAGAAGCAAAGCTACGATAACATCTTTCTCACTCTCTTGGCAGAGTCTTCAGATGCTTGCGTAGTTCACAAACATCACACTTGTCTATCAGCTCTTTTATGCAGAAGTGATTTTGCAAGAAAATGCCAACACTGTATCTCACTTAACAGTAATCTGAAACAAATGCTTGCATTAATGTTGCTCTAAAAGAGTTCTCTGCCGGATGGTCGAGTCTGGTGTGATGGTGGTAGACGAAAAGATTCAGATAACTTTAAATCTGATTTCAAAGCACTGAATTTTACTTCACTACTGACATTGTTGCATTTGTAGCAGCCTGTTTGCATCCGTTGCTGTGCTTCAGTGAAATTAAAGGGATAGTTCACCCAAAAATTAAAATGCGGTCATCATTTACTCATACTCAAGTTGTTCCAAACCCATATGAGTTTCTTCTCTTGAACTCAAACGACGATTGAATTATGCTGGGAAGCAGAAAGTTGACGGTAGCCATTGACTTCCATAGTAGGGGAAAAATACTATTGAAGTCAATGGCTACAGTCAACAGCATTCTTCAAAATATCTTCTTTTGTGCTCAGGAGAAGATAGAAACTCATACAGGTTTGGAACAACTTGAAGGTGAGTAAATGATGACAGAATTTTCATTTTTGTGTGAACTATCACTTTAAAGCTTTAAAGTCGCAATGAAATTGAGGAAGTGACACGTCGTTTCTTGTCATACATCTGAGAAGAGGCCCGTTTATTCGGACTAAGGATGTTAACTATAAGAAAATAAAATCTTTCCAATTCTCTGAGAATAGAAAAGTCCACACTACAGCTATGATGATAATAACAAAGAGGAATATCATTGGATTCACTTTCAGAACAATTTTTTCCAGCTGATGAAAGATAAAAACACTGACAGCCAATCAGAATCTCTGCTTTAAAGAGCTAGAGCATATGTGGCAATGTGGCATGTGCATATAATAAACAGAACATTATCATACTTTGGTTTCGGACGTTAATCTCATAGTTATCTTTACTACTTTATACTTTATTTAAAACAAATAAAAATGATATATATATGAAGAGTTCAGATGCAAAAGCCTCTAAATGCCATTTGAAATTTTCTTCTTTAATGATGATTTTTATCAAACTTGTATATTTAAGTTCAGTAATTTCACTTAAATAACAATTAATAGGTAATTATCATTGCCATTTAAGTGAAATTACTGAACTTAAATATACAAGTTTGATAAAAATCATCATTCTAGAAGAAAATTTCAAATGGCACTTAGAGGCTTTTGCATCTGAACTCTTCATATATATATATATACGTATTTGCAATATGCAATTACATGCATTTACAAAATTGATGGGCTGAATTCTCATTTCATGCTGACTTTAAGAATGGAAATCTGCACGAAAGCACAAAGTCTGTCGTTTGCAATCATCAGATTTTCTAAGTTTTGATTGTCACTTGCTAGCCACGTTTTAGACATCTCGTCTAGTCGAGGTGGTGTACCCAGACGAATTAGTCCTCCAATAAGACCACAGATTAAAAAATGTACTCTGCTGTCAGTGTGTCAGAAGCCACACAGTTAAGCTAACAGACATGCTAACGCTAATTATGGCAGCACAACAAGACACAGTGCAACCAAAACGAAACCTCTGACTTGAAATAAAATTAGTCAAATACACGTGTCCCGATAAGGCGTCAGAGCCATAATCATGCACACATGCTGACTGTGGAGCCAAACTTCTCCTTATTGAGAGAACATTTTCTCAAATAGCCACACAATGGCCAGGAAACTCTTAGCACCTCTCAACACGTCTGCCTTCATGTGATTTGCAGCACCCCACTGTTCAGTAGATTTACAACCAGAAACCCTGGCGTGCAGGTTCACGATGAGCATAGCTGATTACAAAGATAACGGAAGACCTCCTCCCATTGTAACCGGTTAACCGTGCGGCCTGGTTCATTATTGTCTTGCCACGGAGTATTGTCAGAAAGGTGCTAGTGAGATAAACTGCTGTTCACATGGTGCAACAAGAAGGGAATAAAGCCATCTGACAAACAAGTAGTCAGTATATTTGGATGAATCATCTGTTCTGGAAACTTAGTTTGTGATTTCCAATGAGTTTAAAAAAAAAGCCTGTATTTTGTCAGTATATACTGGTTTGTAAATGCATAACAAGCTGCAGCCTGTTTTATTTTCGCATTCAGGGTCAGTTTTGATGTTATTATCATGTTATTAGACTAAATTTGAAAATAATAATAATATATATATATATATATATATATATATATATATATATACAGAAAAACCTGTGTGATGCAAGAAAAACATATTTTTATCAATATTTTTGAGAAAATTTATTTGAATATTTAATTAAATGAATTTTATATGAACATATAAGAATTATACCAGCATAATGCACATATGTACACACACACACATATTCATGGCTAATTTGACAGCCCTACATTCAACCTTTGCTCCACACTTCTTTTGGCTGTAGTTCATTTGATAGTGTATTTTTTTATGTCACTTACATTTGTTGTCTGCTTATAGTGTGTTTGTCTACGCATAATCGTGTTCATCGACAAAATTCAGTCCTAAAAGTGTTTGCTAGATATGGGAAAGAGACTGTAGTTAAAAAAAAGACCTGAATGCATTTTGGGGCTTGAATATTAACATCACAACAGATAACACCCACACACACTTCTTTGGACACCCTTAAAAAAACAACTTGTAAATATAGCTGGCTTTCATTTCCAATAGTATATGAAGAAGTTTGATTTTTACCAAATTACAGAGAGGAACTGGCCAGTTGCTTTGATTCTGACACATAAATCTACCCTGAAGTCTCCTACTCTTTCCTATGTGAAGCAAACAGAAACATTGTCAGTAGTTTGAGGTCTGGTGAGAAACTGCTGATAACCTGTAGGTGCGAGCGCCCCCTCAACACCTCCTGCTCTCTGACTGATTTTCTGTGGTTTCGGTGGTGGTAAAGGGAACCAGTCTGATTAAATTTGATTGACACGTATTTCTCATAACCTGTTCTATGCTGATAGCACGGTGTTTGGCTCATAAACTTGTAGTTTTGAATCAGTCCTTAATGATGCATAAATATAACCTGTTGAGTTTAAGACACCTTCGTGTCAGTAATTCTCTCACATGCATGGTTTTGAATTGAGCGATGCGCGTGGCTATAATCAATGTCTCCTTTTTAAAAGAGCTGCCGAGCCATGTGTCATCTCTGATTGAGCTCTGGTTGAGCTGTAGTCTCAAATTCAGAAATAACTTTGTGGTCTTGAATGCTTGTATACATCTCAGTCTTTCTTCTCATAACTATCGGACAGAGTGAACAACGCTCTGAGAACCCAGAAACCTCAAACCATTATCACGGCTGCTTCATGCTATTTCAATCACGCACTCCCTAAAGAGACAGGCTCAGCCCTAAAAGAAAGACGAGAAAGAAGTATAGAGCTTAGGGTTTCTGAAGTTTTGACCTACGCTGCAGTCAAACGGTCTGTTCAAGTCTGTCTTTTGGTTTCCTGTTCTTGATGTGAAGAGGAGGAGGTTTGTCACGTTTACACTCTGTGGTGCCTGTGCGAGAACTACACTGTCTGTCCTTTGACTTTGCTTCACATTTGCTCTTTATACTGCCATAAGCTTTAATATAAAGGGGTTGAAGACAGAGGACTTTCATCACAGTGGCAATATTTGGAATTCATTAATGGGCAATTTCCTGCCTTTTTGAAAATATTCTTATAAAATATTATAATGAAAATAATAACGATTAGTCATTCTATTATTATTATTCATAAAAAACACCTCTAAAAAGTGAAAATCTGACTCTACAGGTCACTGAGAGGCACTAAATCCATTACTTTACAGATTTACAACAAAATATTAAGAATTATCGGCCTATCAGATGTAAGATAGCAGACAGAAACAAATATGTGAGACGTCTTTGTCACTTTCAGTGGCAACTGTGGTCAATTCGGGTTAATTCTGTATATGCTTATCTATGTAGATTAGTGCTGTGTATCTTAAAGTTTAAAGTGATAGTTCACCCAAAAAATGAAAATTCAGTGTTCATTTACGCTCCCTCATGTTGTTCCAAACCTGAATGCGTTTCTTTCTTCTGCTGAACACAAAAGTTGAAAGGCACATAGTATTTTCTTTTCCCCCAAACTATGAAAGTCAATGGGACCCATCAATTGTTTGGTCACCCATATTATTCAATTCAGCAGAAGAAATAAATGAATACAAGTTTGGAACAACTTGAGGGTGAGTAAATGGGCTTTAGGGTTAATGTCAACAGCCCCTGTTTGTCAGGTTTGGTGTAATGTTATGTAGTTTTTGTATAATACCGGGTCGTTCTTTACAGATTCGAATCCTCTCCAAGAGTACTACGTCATTTTCTCAAACCACGCTGAAGCCTTCCACGTCCGCCTCTCTGGAGCACAATGACACCTAAAAATGGACAGCAGCCTTAACGTCCCGTCAACCTGTCTCCAGAAGCAGTGAAGACGTTCTCGACCCACTGCTGCAGTGTCCACTCTTCACAGCTCCAGCTGCTAATCACGCTGCAACACATCAAGTGTCATGAGCAAAGACTCACTGTGACAGTTTTGCCATTAACACTTAAAAGTGACAACAAGATTAGGCATTCTTCTTCTTCAAAAAAAAAAAGGTTGTTCAATTTCTTAGATCTTACATTCAAGTAAACATCACATAGCTGTAGAATATGGACAAACCCAAATGTTGGCTTAAAAATGTAATTTCAAATTTGAACCTTTTTTGAAACATTTTTTTAATTGCATTTTTAACCCAACATTGGGGTTTGTCCATATTTGACCCAAATTTGGGTTGAAACAACCCAGCATTTTTTAGAGTGTAGAGGTTTTTAGTCATTTACATTGTCAGTAATAAACATCTTACTACTGGATACTGGTACTGAAAACCATACAGATTGAACAACAGTGATTTCGGTCAAATTAATATGTATTTTAGTGTTTAGGCTCTGGGTTTCATCTCTTCCATTTCAAACATATAGGCATATTTATGAAAACTGTCTCTGCAAGTAAATGAATTAGTACACAATAAATTGCACAAATGTGTTATGCAGGAAAATAAATCATATTTGACACTGTGATGAACACTGTACACTCTAAAAAAATACTGGGTTGTTTCAACCCAAATTTGGGTAAAATATGGACAAACCCAAATGTTGTGTTAAAAATGAAATAAATAAAAAATCTACAGGAGAAAGTTGAAGTTGGGTTAAAATTTGAAATTACATTTTTAACCCCAGATTTGGGTTCAAACAAACCAGCATTGTTTATAGTGTAGTAATATACATCAATATATATATATATATATATATATATATATATATATATATAAGGCTTTTCTGTATTGTTACTTTATAATGAATAATAAAGCATTATAATTAATATTACTTTATGTTTCAATATTATAAATAATTATATTGCATATAGGATATATATATATATATATATATATATATATATATATACAAATATTTGGTAGGCCTAACACTTTATTTGTAGTTTCTATAGAAATTGTTATAAATTGTGCTTAATTACATGCAACTAACCTAAACCACACCCTAACCCATATGGTGATACAAGTTACAAGTACAAGTGTACTTAAGTTAAATCTATACTTAAACTGTAACACGAACACCTTCAAATACAGTGTCACCTAATATTTTTCATTTTAAAATGAAATGTTCATCATAAAAGATAGCCTATTCAAGTCATTGTATGAATTGCATTCTTAATGTATTTTTGAATAAGCAATAACACCCAGCGTTGGCTGGGATGTTATTCCTGGAAGAAGAGTAATTGCAGAAAACCACACCTGGGACAAATATAAAACCGCCCCACACAGACAAGCCAAAAATCCTAATGTGATTTACATCACTTTGCGCGTCAATCAGGCTAAATCGTGACATGCAGTTTACAGAATGATCATTTATCTTTCAATTGAGATAAAAATGCGTGAGGTCAGGCACTTTTGAGAATTATGTGAAATGTTTGTGACTGTGAGACATGATCAAACACGGTCGCGTTCAGGAAGTTAGCATGTGTATTTAAGGCGCGTGTTTGCGCTGCTGTAGCTGGAGACAGGCAGGTCGCGCGCAGCAGTCACATCATCTCTAGCGGAGAACAGCAGCGCAACAGGTGAGTCCTGTCCTGACTCAGGCACCTCAGTCACATTACACGTCAGGTGTCATAACTATTCAATTATTCGCTTTGGATAAAGGATACGTCACCTTGACGCACTGGCCGAGGTAAACTTGAAACTGTTTTTAACTTCTGCACATACTTTTTTAGACCATTTTAACGGTACGGAAAAACGTCCAGCTCGATAGATTCACGCGCCTATGTGTCGCGCGCAGCCGGTGCGCCAACATTTTTCCCCTGCACATTCACTCCAACTTCTGATCTGACTGCTGGACTCTTATTTATATGTCAGCTCAATTTATACAAACTTTACGAGGCCTAGCCTATCAATGCTGTTAAAGTGTGATTGCAGCTGCTGGCAGAACATTATGTTTCCCAATGCAGGAGTTTCGTCTCTGTTAGGGGGTCTTGCGGAAACTTCAAATTAAAACAAAAATGGAAAATGGAATTTAAACGAAATGGAAAAGGTAACATTTGACAATATTACGGCTTCATTCTGCTTTGTGAAATTATGAGATGTAACACCTACACTGATTCAAGCCCTACGGTACAAACTACAGGCTGCTCTGTGAAAAATGCACGTCTTCTTTTGGCTATTTATAATAATTCTAGTAATCGCGCTTTTCTTTGTCACGTACTTTAAAGATTAGTTCTTGTTGGTCTCATTTGTTTTGCTCATCGCTTTGAGGCATAAAGCTGCACTGGAAGAATATCTTTATGAAAAGTGTTGATATCCAAATACCAGTAGGCTACATTAAAAATACTGGTTTATGCATATAGCGAACATATATTGTCAAAAAGTTGGAAAACATATCATATTTTCTAGACAATAGCCTATTATACGAATTTCTTTTGGCTTTAGTACAATGACAATATAAAAGACAGTTATTTAATTTTGGGTGTAGCCTACCAAATGAATGCTGAACTCACTAATCAATTGTTTCTCAGGTTTTATAACAATTTTCGTTGGTTTCCAAAATAATTGCGAGCATCCAGAAACGAATTCTATTTAAATTATTATAATCGAATAAGCATGCAAATATTGTGCGTAACGCAGAGATTGCTAAACCGAATAGTCTATTATGTAGTCTCAATTTCTGCCTTACAGTGAATTAAATATACAGTGTTAAATGCAACCAATAGCTATTATTTAAAAATTAATTGTTTGCCTATGCTTGGATTTCGATGTTCTTTAAGTCTCGTCATCAGGTTATTAACGACCGAAACAAAACCTATTAGTTATTGGCAATAATACCCTGGGCCCCATTTGCAGTCTGTTACTTGGAAGTGACGCGATGCTCATATAGCTATATTATGCTGACAGAGGATCAGTTTACTAAATAAGGCTTTGAGATCAAGTTGCCAAGAGGGAGCCTATAACAAATGCGCCGTGCAGTGCCTCGACTTCAAATCGCTTTTGCTTTATTTGGGAGGTTTTGATTGCAAAAAAGGCTGCGGGATAGAGATTTGACACACACCTGCTGCTGCTGTGCTGAGTTTTGGGAAGATCAGGTGCATTTTTTCACACCGGCCGAAATCCACTTTTCAGGCAGGATTGGAGAGCCGTGAGTGATTGGTGACCCTGAACCTGATAACGGAGAGTAAACATGCCGAGGTCATTTTTGGTGAAGAGCAAACGGGCACACAGTTATCATCAACCCCGTTACCTGGACGACAACTGCATCCCAATCGAGAAACTTCTCACGTGCCAAGGTAGGCCTACATTTATCAATGAACGTCTTTATTGAAAACGGCGTTAATGAAACGGCGACGGATAATGCATTGTGAATTTGATTGGCTTTAGAGAGTCAGATCCCCGAGAGTCCGGTGGATGTGGGTAATCATTCCCCTAAAGCCAGCATGGTGTGCACGGCGGATCACTCCTCTCAACAGTCCCCGCTGAGCTGCGAGGGAAGTGTGTGTGACCGCTCATCCGACTATGAGGACTTCTGGAGACCACTGTCATCCAGAACCTCTCCAGGTTGGCATGACATGATCAACACGTTATGGCAACAAACGTTTTTACATTGCTTTAACTCATCAAAATAAGTCAAAGCAAAAATAATAATATAACAAAATAATATATCAACTTTTGTTGATTCAACTCATGTTTTAAAGGAGTAGTTCACTTTAAAAAAAAAAAACGTTTGCTGATAATTTACTCACCCCCATGTCATCCAAGTCTTTCTTTCTTCAGTCGAAAAGAAATGAAGGTTTTTGATGAATACATTCCAGGATTTTTCTCCCTTAAAATAGAGTTCAATGGGAACCAAATGGTTCAATGTCCAAAAGACAGTTTAAGTGCAAACTGCAAACTGTTAAAAGGTCTTTAAACGATTTCAGATGATGAATCAGGGTCTTATCAAGCGAAACGATCGCTCATTTAAAAAAAATAACAAAGTTAAAGTTTTATAAGCTCAAATTCTCGCCTTGCTCTGTTCTGTGATGTGCGTTCGTGACTCTCCTGTTCAAACTCAAAATGAACAAATATTTTCCAGAGTCAACTCGTTCATTTCGTTCGTTGAATGAACCAAATGACACAAAAAAAGATTTGTTCATTTTGATTAACGAGTTCGAACCGGAGAGTCACGAACTTCACGGAGTCACGGAGAGTCATTTTTTTTAAATGAGCGATCATTTCGCCCTTATTCATCGTCTGGAATCGTTTAAAGCCTTTTGAACAGTTTGCAGTTTGTACTGAAACTGTCTTTTGGACCTTAAACCGTTTGGTTCCCATTGAAGTCCATTACACAGAGAAAAATCCTGGAATGTTTTCATCAAAATTCGGATATTCTGATTAAAGTCAGTTTAATGTAATTTTCGGATTAAAGTCAGTTTAATGTAATTTCAATTGAAATGACTTAAACATCCAAGTTGATTGTACTTAAAAATTGAACAGTTGATACTAATTTAACATGGTCTATGCAAAATACTCAATTAACAGGCTTTCCTTTTGTAATATATCTCACTGTAGATCTGGATAAATCGCCTTCTCCAGACGACTCGCAGCCTTTTGACTTGTCTTTCCGTCCGTATGTTTGGGCCCATTCAACATCCGAGCTCAGACACCTCATTCAATCGTGCAACCGTGTTTCTGCGGATTCAGAGACATCAATGGGGGTGCATGAGGCCATGGACAGAAGGCCGGGTGCACATCTTCTCATTGATCCAGCACAATCCGGCCGGTTTTACCAGGACTATGGGTCTCTGAACACTAACCTGTTGGAAAGTAGAGGCTTTTATGCAGACTTCAAGATTTCAACAAAAGTGGCAGAGATCGATTCGGAGTCTGATATTATGTCCACGAGACTTCAACTAAGCGGGTCGTTCAAATGCGTAAAATGCACTAAGGTAGGCCTAGGCTAAATCAACTTTTGATCAACTGTTTGTCCTTAAAAAAACGATTTTTTGAAGCTGAAAATGAAACAAAGATTATTGGAAGAGCCTACGTTTTAATAGAAATGTTTATTTTTCTACTTAAAAGTTCATTTTTAATTCAAATTGCACTCTAAAAAATGCTGGGTTGTTTCAACCCACGTTTGGGTCAATCCATATTTTACCTAAACGGATTGAAACAACCCAGCTAAAATTGTGAAATTTAATAGCAATTTGTCTTCTAAAAATTGTTGGGTTGTTTTAACCCAACTTTGGGTCAAATATGGACAAACCCAGCCATTGAGTTTGTCCATATTTACCCAAAGTTGGGTTAAAACAACCCAGCATTTTTGTGTGCAGTGCAGCTAAGTGAAATAAATTAAATCATAGGGTTCTTGACTCAATTTTTAAAGAACTCTTTATGTTAAAAAAAAAAAAAAGTTATAGGCCTATCTGCTATAAAGAGAAACTTCTTAAATTATTGCATATCAGGCCTACTTTTACATTTTTACGTTTCATTTCCCCCCGGTAATGTTTATGAGCCGTTTAATTCATAAACTTGTAGGCCTATTATAATTAAAAAATGAATTAACAATTGATTAAAACTAAATCAATAAAAATGATCACATGATTGGAATTGAGTCTGATCGAACCCGGTTCTTTATGCAGAATTTGCTTTTGTCTAGAAACCTCCAGCCTTTCGTCTTAGACCAAAAGACTTTTTAAGATCACACGAAACTAAACTAAATCACGACAGTTATGCTTTTGTTTTTAAACAGGTGTTTTCTACCCCTCATGGGTTGGAAGTTCACGTGCGGCGGTCTCACAGTGGCACGAGGCCCTTCGCGTGCGATATCTGCGGAAAAACTTTCGGCCACGCGGTCAGCCTGGAGCAACATAAAGCTGTCCATTCACAAGTAGGCCCAACAACATTTATAAATATTACAGAATTATAAGCCTGGGAAATCTTACTAATCACATTCTTTACCTACAGGAAAGGGTCTTCAGCTGCAAAATCTGCGACAAAAGTTTCAAGAGGTCGTCCACTTTGTCCACTCATCTCCTCATCCACTCGGACACCAGACCATATCCCTGTCAGTACTGCGGAAAACGATTCCACCAGAAATCAGATATGAAGAAACACACGTTCATTCATACAGGTGATTTATATTTTGATCAAAACAAAACAATATGTTAGGGCTAATCACAGCTTGAACATTGGCACGCGTATGCAAAAATATTGTGTAATGGAATAGTTAAACGATTTATCCGTCAGTCAAAGTTTGTTGAGACTTAAACCTCTTCATATGTTTTTCAGGTGAAAAGCCACACAAGTGTCAGGTGTGTGGCAAAGCCTTCAGTCAGAGTTCAAACCTCATCACACACAGCAGAAAACACACAGGATTCAAGCCTTTCGGATGCGATCTGTGTGGAAAAGGATTTCAGCGCAAAGTAGATCTGAGGAGACACAAAGAAACGCAGCATGGAGTAAAATAATGCAAAAATATATAGCCTATATAATTGTTTTGTTTTTCCCCTTACATCTGTTTGTTTGCACATGCATGTGACACTATGTAGAATTAGAACGTAGGTTAATGTTGTGGTTTTATGGATTAAGAAAATAACGAATTAATTTGCTGATGTCAGAGAGAATTCCAAGTAGGCTATTTTATAACAAGCTGTGATATTTTGTCCGTGCAAAATATTTAATAAATGGAAAAATAAAATATCAGTTCTCTACTTTTTTTACTTCGAAATACATATAAAGGTTTAGGATAAAATGTTAGTCATATCAATATAGGCTAAAGCGGATATTTCATCAATGTTAACGCATATTCTTGTGAAAGTGTGATGGCTAGCAATTGTTAGCAACGCACCTATCAAAAAACATATCGGCTTCAAATTTTAGGTAATTTATGACGACAACATAAATCAACCAAGTATTCTTAATCTAAAAATAGATCATTTTTTGCACTGCAGGCTATTGTTGCCACTGCATTAAGGTTAAAAAGATTGTTTAGAAAAGATTAAAAAGATTCATTTATCCTGTCTGAAGCCATACATAAGCTGCATGCATTCATCAAGCTATATTAGGCCCAAAATGCAACTGAAATTTCACCAACAGCATTACCTTGAAACTGTATTATCCAATTCTTCAGACAGAACAATCCTTCAGAAACTCTTAAAGGAGTAGGTCACTTTTAAAAAAAACGTTTGCTGATAATTTACTCACCCACATGTCATCCAAGATGTCCATGTCTTTCTTTCTTCAATCGAAAAGAAATTAAGGTTTTTGATGAAAACATTCCAGGATTTCTCTCCATATAATGGACTTCAATGGGAACCAAACGGTTCAAGGTACAAATGAGAATTTCAGTGCAGCTTCAAAGGGCTTTAAACGACACCAAACGATGAATAAGGGTCTTATCTAGCGAAACGATCGGTTATTTAAAAAATAAATTAAAAAGTTTAAGTTTTATAAGCACAGATATTCGCCTTGCTCTGTTCTGTGATGAGCATTTAAAGCCCTTTGAAGCTGCACTGAAACTCTCATTCAAACTCTCATCTCGTGAATTTGATTCATCGTCAGTTCATTTTGAGCAAGTAAATAAGATATCATTAATATAATACTGACCACTGAAAATAAAATGATGCATACAATCTTTGTATTAGGTAGGACTTTATTGTAAATTCTACATGTGTGTGCTGTACATTGTTATTGGAGCAACACAGGGTTTGAAGAGCAGCACGAGGTTGTGTAGATCTTTGTCCTCCAGTTTCAGCTCGCTCATGAGAGAGGTGATGTACTCCAACGAAGATGGACTTTCCAGTGACTCTTTCAGCAATGGTGACACTTCTGTTAACCTGAGCAAACAAACAGCGTTTAGCACCAATGGCATGTGAACAGAATCAAACTAAAGTTAGTGAGAATAAAAGATTATCTCGAGTACTTTAAATGCACATTAAAGGAGTAGTTCACTTTAAAAAAAAACTTGCTGATAATTTACTCACCCCCATGTCATTCTTTCTTCAGTCGAAAAGAAATTAAGGTTTTTGATGAAAACATTCCAGGATTTTTCTCCATATAATGGACTTCAATGGGAACCAAACGGTTCAAGGCCCAAAAGACAGATTCAGTGCAAATTGCAAACTGTTCAAAGGGCTTTAAACGAATTAACCAAATGACACGAACAAAGATTTGTTCATACTGACGAACGAGTTTGAACAGGAGAGTCACGAACGTGCATCACAGAACAGAGCAAGACGAGCATTTGTGCTTATAAAACTTATTTTTTGAGTTTTATTTTTTTAAATGATCAATCGTTTTGCTTGATAAGACCCTTATTCATCGTCTGGAATCGTTTAAAGCCCTTTGAACAGTTTGCACTGAAACTGTCTTTTGGACCTTGAACCGTTTGGTTCCCATTGAAGTCCATTATATAGAGAAAAATCCTGGAATGGTTTCATCAAAAACCTTAATTTCTTTTCGACTGAAGAAAGAATGACATAGATATCTTGGATGACATGGGGGCGAGTAAATTATCAGCAAAGTTTTTTTTAAAAGTGAACTACTCCCTTAACACCTGCATTTATGCCACTTTCATGGCGTCATTCATCCCTAGCTCTCTCTCGAAGAGGAAAAGGGTTATTTCAACAGCTCGGATTCAACCTGTTCTACAGTTTCTGCAGGTTTATCTATTATTGAACTGCTCTGAACAAAAGCCCACAGGCCAGCGGCACACCTGACATGAGGCACAGAGGAGCGCGCTTCCAAATTATTCATGAAGGGAAAATAACAGGCCCTCTGCTGATAACAGATTGAAAGCCTTAAATGGGTTCTGACCGTAATGAAGATGAGCAGTCAAACACATGAACAGTCTGAAACACACCGATTAGTGAATATAAAGGTATAAAACATGCAACATGTTTCAAAAAAAGAAAAGCTTTCCCATCGATAAAGAAACAGTTTGTGTTCTGAAGAAACTGCAACTTCTCTGGGCAAAATCGAAATATTGATTTGCTGCATTATCAATGAATCATTTCATTAAGTCTAATTCGATGATCAATTTAATCCTGTACTTGCATGACTGAAATAGCAGTGCAAGTTGCATTTTGAAAGATGGCCACCGAGGACTTTGGTTTAATTCACCGTTACTTGTCATTTCTGTGTAATAAATTGTGAGAAATTTCTGAGTGAATTTTTTTGAAAAGTTTCAGCGTAAAACATATATAGGCCTACATTTATTAATATAGGGTTAAGAAATCCCCCAGCCAGTCAATAATAAATCAGAGCCATGTCTTTAGGACAGATCTTTAAATGGGGAGTGGTTTAAGAGCACTTGTTCTTCAGGTGGAATGTTTCCCATGCTGTTCCTGCAGCATCACGGATCCACAGCAATCAGGCCGTGATAAGAGACGGGCTTGTGTTGACACAGACAGGGAGCAGCACAGAACTCTCCTCAGAGTTAGTGGCTCTGTCGTGCATTCATTAAGCTGACGGAAGCCATACACACCACCTGCTTCTGTACAAACATCTCTCACACACACACTATTTTATTTGGAAATAACTACAAGACAGGATTCTGATATTCTGAGTCAGTCAACGAGAAATATGAGCGTTTACAACAATAATTCGAATGAATCTAGTTTAAAATACGTGCAAAATGTAACTCATCAAGTAAAAAGTTGTAAAAATGTTCCTACATATTTAATGCATGCGAGTATCCACATCCTAATCTTTTAATAAAAGGTTTTACTATATATATATTTAAATTTAAATATATTTTGTACAAGTTTGCTTAAACAATCATAAATCATTATTTAGTTTTCTGGTCAGTCACAGCGCATGACATTTTAAAACCTGAACTAACCTTGCAATGCCATAAAAAGGTCAAATGATCTGATATTTTGAGACTTTTTGACTATCATGAGGGTCTGCAGGGATCCGCTCTATGATATTTTGATTTCCATTGAGTTTTATTTTTCTGTCTGCATGTTAGTCACATCATATGACAATGATTTAGCATACAAACATTTCACGTTATCTCTAAGAAATAATAATATAATATTATTAAGCCGAACCATAGGTAAAAAAATTATTAATGCAACAATAATTAAAACATTTGTTAAAAAGTATTAATTCATTTTTTTAAATTTTGGGTAATACAACTACATCCGTTCATTGTCAGTTCATGTTATCTCAGGTCCTTCAGCCAAAAATTAAAATTAGCCCATGATTTACAAGCCCTCGAGTCATCCTAGGTGTATTTAACATTCTTCTTTCAGACGAATACAATCCGAGTTACATTAAACATGTCCTGGCTCTTCCAAGTTTTATAATGGCAGTGAATGGCTGTTTCTGCTTTGACCATTAAAGTGCATCTATCCATCATAAAAGTAGTCTGGGGGACAATAAAGGCCTTCTGAAGCGAAGCGATGCATTTGTGTAAGAAAAATCTCCATATTTAAAACTTTATAAAGTAAAGTAACCAGCTTCCGGCCAAACAAACACATGGATTTGACTATGTGGATTGAATATAAGTCTATATAGCACCTTAACTATACAAAAGAACCTGTTAAGGCCCTGTATGGTTCTTTAAAGGTTCTTTAAAGGTTTTATAAACTCTTCTCATATTTTAGAAATGTATAAATAATTGAAAAAAAAATTAAAAAAAAAAAAAAAAAAAAAAAAAAAACTGTTCTGTTGTCAATCTGCGTTCACGAGTCTGCATTGACGCTGATGACGTAAGACGCTGCAGATGTGTATCTGGTGCGCTCGAGCTTCATTTACAGTCTGAGGGAGATGCCCGCTGTAAACAAAACAATCTTTGCAAACATGTCTAAGGATTTCGACACGGAGAAAGACTTGTATTGCCCAGCCATATTTATTTGAACCCGAATACTGACGCACCAGATACACGTCACCAGCGTCTTACATCAGTGTCACTGCGGACTCATGAACGCAGATTGACAACAGAACCGGAAGACAATACAATGCTGAATAGTCATAGTTTTTGTTATTTTTGGACCGAAATGTATTTTCGATGCTTCAAAACATTCTAACTAACCCACTGGTGTCACATGGACTACTTCGATGATGTCTTCATTCCCTTTCTGGACAAGGACGGTATACCGTACATACATTTTCAATGGAGGGACAGAAAACTCTCAGACTAAATCTAAAATATCTTAAACTGTGTTCCGAAGATGAACGGAGGTCTGACGGGCTTGGAACAACATGAGGGCGAGTCATTAATAACATAATTTTCATTTTTTGGTAAACTATAACACATTTGAAGTTTTTACATTTTACTTGCATATTTAAAAATACCTTTAAAAGAAATTACAGCTTAAACCTACCCATAGTCCCAATCCTGTCCCTAACCGTACCCGTATTCCCCTCAATAGCAGTGTTCTGCAATGCAACATTCTTTTCTTAGTTAAAGACATCTAATAAAAAGTGTGGCCAATGTAAACGTATTGTAAATTGTTACCACTACTTAAAATACTTTTTTTTTTGCTAGTTTTGCGACTCACAGGAAAATCTCTTTCACTATTTGAAACTCCAGAATCAATTCTTCAATAGAAGCACAAATCTTTATCAAGTAGATAAATATTAACTTGGAGCAAAAACAAATGCACACAAATCATACGCACTCGCACGGACATAAATCACTTGCGTCTTATGACTTTACATAGTGTGTTCCTGAAGAGAAAACAA